ATGCTTCATTGCACGAGCATATGTATAAATAAATTCCTATGTATGTATATATGTGTGTATTCAGTTTAGGCAAATACCAGCAACAAATGGTTGGCATTCGAAATGTCGCAATGAAAATGAATAATAATGAATACATACCAAATAGGTGATGAAACCAGTTCTCTGACCATAACTGCAGGAGCCTGTGTCGGAAAAGCTAAGATCGATTGTGAATTGTTGCAGCTAGCTGTTCCCTAGCAGCTGAAAAGCTCGGTGCATGCAAAAAAGCGCGCTTGCAGTACGTGTTTGTTGGCAGTTCACATAAATCGAGGCCTTACCAGTTCCTGCTCTACTATTTAAGTATCATGATTTATTTACTGGCTTTCTAGGCCAATCGACAATTTCATACATGTACATACAGATAATCATAAACCTTTTAGGAATATATAAAAAGAATATATTTTTATAGAATATATTTTACCTACTTAATCAGACTTGCTTCATAAAGCTAGCTCACTAAGAATGAATGGTAAACTCAATTTCAGATGAGCTATACGCAGGAGCTAATTTTAATTGGAATTTTGGGCATTGTCTCTAGTATTGTGGGACTTAAAGTGTCTACTGGCTATCACATCGTACACAATGAGCAACCGCAGGCTCATGGACCAAACTTCCATGAGTTCAGGTATATTCACGGTGGAGATCAATTTTTAGTAGGGTAAGCCTAATATGCACTTCTCTTTATGTAAATAAGTCTACCAAATATACTTTTATTACTAGAAATGCGCTACCTACTGCAGGGGCGGATACTTCGTCAGCGCCACAAAATCCCTTCCTTTTAGTTGCGAATCCTCCACCGGCTCCGCCAATGCCGGGGCGAGTCACATGTGCTAATCCTCCAGCAATATGTACGAAGTCGGCCTATCGATCGATGGATGGCTCTTGCAATCATTTGGAACGCGCAGGGCTAGGCGTCCCTAACACTAAGTATGATTCAGACTGGCTTTTGCAAAGTTTTTTATGTGTTGTTATATATAAAACGGTTTCTTTCTAGGTATGGCCGTCTTGTGACGCCCAAATATGCCGATGGAATATCGGCACCTACTCGTTCTGTTACCGGAAACGAGCTGCCCAGCGCTCGTCTTGTATCTTTGGTGGCGTTTGGTGAGCAGGACGTGCCCGATCCTCAGTTTACGCTCCACAACATGCAATGGGGACAGATCATAACCCACGACATGAGCATGCAAGCCGGTGGCACCCAATCTAGTATACCCAAACACTTAACTATAATAAAGTACTAGCTCATTGCCTCTTTTTTCCCTTATAGAGAAACATCCAACACGTTGTTGCACTGATGACGGACGATTGGTAGGCTTAGACATAGCACATAAAACCTGCTTTGCTATAATCGTGCCTCCCCATGACCCGGCTTACTCACAAGTTGGTACAGAATGTCTTAACTTTGTTCGTACGCTGACAGACCGCGACTCTAACTGTCAATATACTGGTGGACCGGCGGAACAGTTGACGGTAGTCACCTCTTATATGGACCTCTCGTTAGTCTATGGTAACTCTATACAACAGAACAGCGACATTCGTGAGTTCCAAGGCGGACGCATGATTGTTGAGGAACGCAATGGTGCAAAATGGCTTCCTTTATCACGTAACGTCACTGGCGACTGTGATGCCATTGATCCCAATGAGGTCTGCTACAGAGCAGGCGATGTGCGTGTCAATCAGAATCCGGGACTAGCTATATTACAGACCGTGCTGCTACGTGAACACAACCGTATTGCCGATGCACTAGCGGCCCTTAATCCACACTTTGACGATCGCACTCTGTTCCAGGAAGCACGCAAAATCAACATTGCCCAGTACCAGCATATAAGCTACTACGAGTGGCTGCCAATATTCCTGGGAACTGAAAATATGTTGAAAAATCGACTCATCTTTAAAGCTCCTGGAGGAAGCTATGTGAATGACTACGATTCCAACATAGATCCCAGTGTATTAAACGAACATGCGACAGCTGCTTTTAGATATTTCCATTCCCAAATCGAAGGTAGATTGGAGTAAGTATTTGCTGTTCAATAGGTTGAATGATTGGAAGTGAAGCTCTTTCACTTACATTGTGTCATATACTCTCTTGAAGGTTTGTTCTTGATAAGCATCCACTCAATGTTTTCGAGCTTATTCCTTATTTGTAGCCTTTTGTCCGAGCTGCGTTCAGTTCTTGGCTCATTGACTCTTAGTGATTGGTTCAATCGACCTGGCATTCTTGAAGTTGGCGACAATTTTGATTCCCTTACCAGAGGTCATGCAACACAGCCAGAAGAGCTGACGGACATTAACTTTGATAGACAGGTGTGTATGCATATACTATGTAGTATCAAATAAATAAATAACAGCCTTTTTTTGACATTCAATATTTGTTAGATCAAGCATTTTCTGTTTAGACGAAATATGCCCTTCGGCTCGGACTTGCGTTCTTTGGATATTCAGCGCAATCGTGATCATGGACTTGCATCATACAATGATATGAGGGAATTTTGTGGACTAAGACGGGCACATTCATGGGAAGACTTTGGCGATCTGATCAGTCCGAAAACGCTTGATGCACTTAAGTCGCTCTATGATAGTCATGAGGATGTAGATTTAACAGTTGGAGGCTCTTTAGAGGCACATGTTGCCGGTGCGTTAGCCGGTCCAACTTTTCTTTGTATTCTTACAGAACAGTTCTATAGAACTCGTGTGGGCGATCGTTTCTTCTTTGAAAATGGAGATAAAATCACTGGTTTTACTCCAGGTATTATAAAAACCACAATTACATGTATTAATATTAATGTATTATATATTATTAGATCAACTGGTAGAGCTGCGTAAGGCAAGCATGGCACGTTTGCTCTGCGACAATGGTAACAATATTGCGTCAATGCAGCCTGCTGCTTTCAAAACAATATCTGGATCGTAAGTACAATAAAATAATGGTTAACATAAATAATAATCATAATCGTTTACTAGGAACCCTGTTGTGCCGTGCACAAACATTCCGCAAGTTGACCTCACGAAATGGATCGACCAAAGTGCACATCCCTCCACAGATCACTCAATTCTATTTGGAAAGAAATGATCGCTGGCAGTTCATACACACGACATCAATCATTAACTAGTTCAAAATATAATAACACTTAGATTAATCAGTTTAAAGATTATGAAATCAAACTCCATGTATTATATTGTCCCTTTTTATGTACATAAACAAATCAATATAAGAACTTAACAGTCTTTATTATATGGTCCCGATCAATGCAAAGGAAACTAGATGCTTGACTCTATTCTATTTATGCTCCTCGTCTATTTAAAGTTGTATGGTATAATAAACAAGCAGAATGTAAGAACATTGGCAGCTCGGCATCAATTACGACGCCGCCACACATATTTTTTAATAATGAGGTATTTTTTGTAATAGAAAGTATCTTAGTTCTGGCATAAAAACCGAATACGTTTGTGACGAATTTTTAATAAGCAGCTTAATTTTATTTGGCAAACTAAAATCTTATCGCTGCCTATATACACTCCGCGTCATCAGGTTGGCACGCTCAACAGGAAATTATATACATTGCTCTAGTTCTGTGCTTTGTTGAAAACTAGCTACTTCTTTATTCTATATAATAAGTATGTTTCTTTTGATCGATAGAGAAGCAAATATCGAAAGTCGAGACTAGCACAGTCTGTGCTTTGTTCTATACTTTTTCATTTTGCTCTTTGTCATTTCTTCTTTCGTGTTCAAACACATAAATATATTTATATATGTTATTGAGGCATTTATTTGTTGTTTGTTGTTTCTTTCTTTCTATTTGTTTTGGTCTATCTGTTTACGTTTTTGAGTAAAAATGCTAATTGTATGTTAATAAACAAATTAAACTAAAGAATATATACAATCTGAAAGCTATATAACAAAAGGAAAATTCAAATTTCGACCGATTGCAGCTTAAGTTCGAGTGGCCTTGTCTAGCTTTGTACCGAGATTTCATTTGAGGTATTAGAAATTTATTCGCCTTTTCTGAGCATGCATATAGTTTATGCCCATAAACAGACAAAAAAAAAAACGTTCGTTTATTAACTCTTTAAAAAAATTAGCACAAAGATCTTTGAAAATGAGTTTGAAGGTGTTAGCAAGCAAGTGTCAACTTTTTAGCCATACTTCCAAAGTCACATATGGAATTATCAAAATTGATAAAGCATATATTCATTAAGTTATTTTGTAGAGCTTGGAAAAAATGTGAAACACGTCACTTTTCACAAAGATTTATGTAAACAGTGTCGCAGCCGACTGGATGGTAAAATATAAATAAAATCAACTTTTCTATAATCGCTGAAGCACGTATAAAGTTCTTATGTAGGTCTTTAAATGTAAGTTTAATGTCGATCGGACAAAACTAAAATCTATCCCCAAAAAATCTTGCACCAAGGATTCTTGGATTCTGCGAAAAGAATGAAACACGTCTCAAATGATTGTTCATAAAGATCCTTAAGATTTAATTTAAATGTGAAACTTCACTTTTGAACTATGAGCAAAGATGTTTGAAAATGCGTTTGAATTTTAGAAACTCCCATCTTAGAGTGCATCTTTACCACGTACAGTAATTACAGTACAGAATTCATTTAATATAAACCTTTTGCCCATTTTAATTAATTCATTGAAACTATTAAAAAAAGGGGGTTAATCATTTTGTGTGCATTATTTTAACAGCCATCTGCAATCAGAAGCTAGACGGCTAAGGATTTGTAATGTTGTTTCCGATAGGCGAAAACTTAACCCGCTTCCAATTAATCAATAAAAACTGGTACTGAAATTCAGTCTTAAAGCAAATCATTTAAGAACTTTCTTATATATCTTTCAGGTGATGTCTACCCCCACGCACCAATTTAAGCAACAAATTTAATGTTGCCTTTTGTGTGAATATGGTATACGAGTATTCTAAAGTCGGGCACGCTCAACCTGAGCACACTTCTTTTAATTGATTTAGTTAATTTGTATTTTGTTCCTTATCATATGAATACATTTGAAATGGATGGCGAGGGGTGCTTATGGCTAGGATAATTGGACCTTTGCTGCTTCGTTCTTCGACGCTATTATCCTCAATAAAATCGTTGTCGGTGGTTGCTGGCTTGTTTTTTTGAATGCCATGCTCATTTGTGCTTGGATCGCTCATTTCTGAACTATCTTCTGCACTCATGTTATCTGTATCAGACATATTATCACTAGATTCACCTTTATCGGACAGGGGGTCTGTTAGATAAGTCGCTTGCGCCATCATTTCGTTTTGGCTTAAGGTATTTTCATCGTTAAGATTTTCAAAAGTATTTATATCGTTTTCTGGAAGCTCCAGAAACACTTCGTTTTCCATGGAAAGCCCTGTAGAATATTTTCGCGGAGGTCCCCATTGATGCCAATTATGACCTGGATGTGTGTGGTCTGAATGTGGATGTCCTGGATGTGGATGAGTTGGGTGGGAATGTCCTGGGTGTGAATGTCCAGGATGTTGGTATCCTGGGTGTTGATGTCCTGGGTGATGATGTCCTGGGTGCTGATGCCCTGGGTGCTGGTGTCCTGGGTGCTGATGTCCTGGGTGAGGATTGTCTGGATGAGGATAATGTCCTGGATGAGCTGGATAGCCCGGATGACCTGGATAACCAGGATATCCCGGATACCCTGGATGCCCTGGATATCCTTTCTGACCATCATTGTGATCCCCATGGTGGTGTCCTTTTTTTGACGAATGAATAGGAAAAGGTATTATTATAGGAGGTGGATGGGGATAAATAGGGGGATGTGACGGCCAGGGTTTGCTGCCTGGATAGCCAGGCGGTCCAATAGGACCCTGAGGTCCTGGTACTCCTTGGGGACCAAGGTGTCCTCTGTCGCCCTTTTCTCCTTTATCTCCTTTTTGGCCAGGATATCCTGATCTTCCTGTTGAACAAGCAGAGCAATAATAAAGACATGCACGCAATCCTCATCTTGAGTAGAATGCTAACCTGGAGGACCTGGCGGACCAGGTAGACCCGGCGGCCCTGGTGGAGACGGTGGACAAAAACATTGTTGTGGTTGATGTGGATGCGGATAATATGATGGTGGTATTTTGTAAACCACATGCGGTGCTGGGGCTGGCGCTGGAACTGGAGACTGAAGCGTTGCGACAAATCTTCCAGTTTCTTGGTCGCTATTCTTCCTGCTCGCTGAGCCTAAACTGCTGGCAATGAAGAAACCTAAAAAAGATGGTTTCGTTATTTTTTGGGCATTTCTAATAATTAATGAATGTCGCTTACCGCAGCAGAAGATTGATATGATCAGCTTCATGGTGAAAAAGAATATGCTGCCTTTCGCCGACGAATCGTTCACTTTTATATTAATCTGTAGCATTTTTTCCAAACAAATTACTTTCAATAATTCAGATTCTATAGGACCGTTATGCATCAAGTCCGCTGAGAAATTTTTCTGTTCAATGAATTTAATAATAGTGTGAATATGAATTTCATTAACTTTGCATAATAAAAGGGGTGACATCTAGCTTGTTAGTATTTCGCCTAATACCAAAGGTGTCGCGCGTCAGAATATCATTAGCCCACATTTAGAAACTTAAATAAAACAAGCCAAGTATAATCAAACCGCAAGGTCAGAGCGAAAGTTAAAGGTTAACTGTTTTTGTTACTTATATTACGCAAGACCCAGATTTAAGATTTTAAATACAATTCACTGGCCGTTATTTCAGTATGTCAATTGGTACTTCATGTTCCAGTTAAACAAGTAAACGTGCTTTGGTCGAAAGCCGATTCCCTTCTTTTAAGAACACCTGAACACAAGCACACACGCCGGAGCAAGCTATTGTTAATTTCAAACAAGCCCAACCCGTGCTTGTCGTACAAATATTATACAAATTTCATCCGATTTCAATAGGTCTTAAGTATAATTAAATTTGATCATCGAATTCGTCAACTAATTTTATTTGTAAATAATATTATTATTATACTATTACGCATGACACCTAACAGGTGCACATCGTAATGCACATTCCTTGACATGCATTGGCCAAGACCTAACCTAACATATGGATTATCATACTTTATCTCAATTCCGCTGCCCTAAAAATTCCTTAAAATTATTCCTGAAAGTCGATAATAAGAATAAGTATGTTGATGTTCTAGGTATTATTCAGTTGGGCTTTGAAATCTAACGTAAATGAAAGTTTTTCATATATATCTTTTAAAGTAATATAATATTTAATAGTTTAAGCATAAGATAATTGCTATTAGCTGTTCATTTAAAAAAGTTAGTGTCATTAATTTTCCGGAGTTTTGATTGTTTTAAATAGCCAGTTGAGGGCTAAGGTCTTGCCATTTGCTAAGGTCAAGTTGAGGAATGTCGTTGCAGTTCAGCAGAACATTGCTAAAAGCAAATGAGTAGTATGATTAATATGACATTTACAAAATTCACACAACTTAAGACCCATTGAATGCGACTTACCGAGTATTAGGGAAAATAAACACATTCGGCTGAATATAATGTAAGCTTTGAACATTGTTGCAGAACAAAGAAGCCAAGGTAACCTTCCGTATCTCTGCCAGTTGGTCTATATGGGTGGTTAACAATATATATAAATACTAATAAATCAATAAATAGTATAAGTGATAACTCACTGCGTGAAAATCCGCTTAGATGATTTTCTCGTTCAAAAAAGAAGCGATCTCCTCGACGTGTATTGAGAAACTGCTTGCCCACAATACAAAGCAAAGTTGGTCCAAATAATGAGTCAGGGACATGAAATTCAAGAGTACCTCCCACACTTAGCTCCACATCATCTGGAGAGGCGTACAGCTTACGCAGTAATTTAATTTTCTGCAAATAAAATATGTTAAGTTTGTAATAAGCATTACCTATAAAGATTGTCCTACCTCATTAGATATTTCGGTAGCGAATTCTGACCATTCGCTGGCTCGGCGCAATCCGCAAAACTCACGAACATCATTATAAGAAGCGAGTCCGAAGTCGCGCGCACGTTGGATATCCAAAGCCTTTAGATCGGAACCGTATTCCTGAAAATCTTTCCGATTGAAGTAGTGTTTGATCTCGCGATCGATATTACTGTCGGCCCGCTTTTGCAGTTGAGTGGCCATTCCACGAACCAAATCAGCTAGATTAAAATTGGAGGACAATAGCTGAATGGTCTCAGCACGTTCAAAAAAGTCGCTGAGTCGGAACGTCTGATTCGCGTACCGGTTGGGCGCAACCATTCTGTAAATTTATAAGAACATGCTATTCTGGGATTTTTATGTACAAGATTTCACTACTCACGAAAACCATCCGGGAACCTGGGTGTGCGAATAGCGAAAAGCGGCTGATGCAAACTCTGCGTAGGCATTGGGATTAACACCCTCATCATAGTCGTTCACAAATTCGGTTGAATCGTCCGAGTAGGGGTAAGTAAGTCCATTTAAATGCGTGTAAGCGCTTCCCAAAACAGCTACCAGATAATCATAGTAGGTGATCTTCTGATACTGCGCAATATTGATCTTGCGAGCCTCCTGGTATAAACGCTCGTCGTTGAAATGAGGGTTTAATATAGCCAGCTGGTCCGCCAACCGGTTGTGCTCGCGCAGAAGAACCGTATGAAGCACGGCAATAGTCGGCGTGAAACGATTGCGTTTATCCGGCATGCTATAGCACTCACTATTAGTGCCGCATTCACCTTCAAGATTCTGACTCACGGGCAACCATTGTTGGTTGTTGATGTAACTCGTAATGAGGTGGCCACCTTTGAAACGACGCACTCGTCGACTCTGCGCTTGCGAATTGCCATAAAGTGATGACAGATCCAAAAAGGCTGTAACCACAGACAGCTTCTCGCTATGAGAAAGGCCACTCTTTGGGCAAATAGCCTCCGCGTCGGATACAGCACGGGCAAAGCTGAGACATGATTTCCCTGTATTAAAGGCGATGGGTCCACCTGCTGCTAGTGTAATGGGTTGGCACTGTGGATGACGAGATTCGGCGCAACAGTCTTTGGGTGCTCCCTTTGTAGTCAGCTGGCTGATGTCGTGTGCAACGAACTGACCCCACTGCATAGCAGCCACCGTGCGAAACTTGTCCATCAAAGTATCCTCGCCGAACACTGAGAGCGATACAAGTCGTGCGTTCGGAACTGTTTGTCCATGCTCCATATAGTTAGGGCGTAGAATCCGTTGGTACCTTGATGTGGCGATACCAAACTCTGGATAGAGCAAATTATTACATGCGCCATCTATGCTGCGATAATGCAAATTTTGTGTATCATTTAAACAGTTCCGTGGTGGTATGCCACACTTTATTAGCTCAAGAGATCGCTTTTCATCTCCCCGTAAGTTCATCCAACTTCTGGGTCCAGAATTGATGCTATACTTGGGCAAAATGCTTTTTAGTAGATCGTCCAGGTTATGATCCGCGCTCACGGTAGACCGCACATCATACGGATCGCTACTTCTCTTCTTTCTACCAGCGGATTCTTGCTGTGATCCCAAAGTATCAAAATCCAACGCATCCAATTGGCTAAACGGGCAACCTGTATGTTGGTTGTGCGCCTTTGATGCGCTGATCACCAACAAAAGCAGACCAACAACCGCAATGAATACTCTCATTGTTATCAAGTCAAGCCAATTATGATGCACTTTCACCAGAGACTCTGCATATATACGGCGCATCATCGGCTAATATTTTGAGTTTTCGCACGATCATCAAGTCCCAACATTCGTGTCATTCACATGATGGTATCTTCCGCATAGCAAAGCACGCACGTGATAAATTCTTAGTTTGATGGCAAAGATTAAACGACATGCTTGATTTCCAGAAAAAGATAACAAGATAACTTGAAAGCTTGTAGACCACCAGATTATAGCACTTTCACTTCGTGTCGTTTATACTTTGCAATTCTTTCCGCATTTCAGGGCTCTTAACAGATAAATATATATTTTATTATTATTATATATTCCAGTATGTTTGCTCACCCATTCTTAAACGCAAATGTGAGGCTAAAGACCAAACCAACAACGATCATTTTCTTTTGTTGTCAGTTCACACACACATGTCGTCGATTGCCTCCGTCAGCACTACTGAGGATTAGGAAAAAAATACTTGCGACCACTTTTTGTCAATTGATGACTACTTTTTGTGTATGCTTTGTGCTTTATGTGCTTAACTTCTATTTAATATTTTTTTAGCTGCGCTCTTTCTATGATTAATAATAACCACAATTTTAACTGTACCCTGTATCTTATAAACAAGCTAAATAGTTTTCAAAAATGTTTGCAATGACATTGACATCGTAAGGTTAGAATTAATTATTTTCTTCCATTTATAATACTGCGTAAAATTGTCCACGAATGAATTATGCGTATCGATATCATCTCTATATATGTCCAAATAAGCACCCATATTGCTTAGAATGTGCCAGGTTATTCCCAATAGCATTTTGGGATAGTACGGATTTACATCCAAACAGCAATTACTAAAACTGAAAAAAGTATATATGATTCCATGTTCATAGAAACTGAATAAAAATATTTGGTATTTCACTTACATAGTCTCAATGTATCGTTCCATGATTTTCTGAATAGTATTTAATATCCTAACAAAAACATCTTTGTTTAATTGATCGTATTTGGAGTAAAAGTAATCAGAACTTTGCAGCACGAAAATAATGTCGCAGGCATGGTTTAAGAAATCTAATGTAAAAATAAAAATTAAAATAATTTAAATTCTTATTAATGCAAGTTTATTTTGAATTTATACAATCCTATCATCAACTGATACGCTTCCTACATAAACTCTGTTGCACATTGTTCTTCTCTTAATGGTCTATACATGGTCTGTTGACGCTAAACGCATTGAAAATAGGTAAAAAAAAGGTGAACAACGCTTAATCTTATAACTATCGATCCACTATATCTTATAGCTGCCACAGAAATGATTGGTCAAAAACTAAGTTCTTGTGGAGTTAACGTTATGGAAATAAACCAATAAAAAAGGATTTTCTCTTTTTTTGACTCCTTATCCCCCGAAAAAAAAGTAATCTGGCAAATTTTAGCACCATAAAAGCTTTCCTTATCTGTTACATTTGAACAAACTGTATCTCTATAGGTCATTTAATGAATAGATAGTTTAAAAATAAAACGAAAAACCACAAACCATTCGATGTGAGAAACTCGATGAAACTTAGGACGCCCGATAGACGAAATGCATTTCCTTCAGAAAAATGCATGGTAACATAACTGTTGTATGTGCCATACAAGATTGTTAAGTCGCGTCGTGTAGCTGCAAAATGAAAAATTTAAATAAATAAATCATGATTATATTTAAATAAATGTAGTTACTTGTGGCTAGATAAAAAAAAAGAAAATTGTGCTCAGATGTAATAACAGCTTATATTATTAAAATGGTTAATATACAAAGCTTAACGCGCTGAAGTGGAATCACTCGGAGTGGGGACATCTTCGGGACGTATTTGCACGCAAAACAAACAAAAGGCGCAAAGTGGAGCTTATTTGGCAAACAACACGAAGCCGATCTGTGAGTAAATATCCCATAGCTTGGGTCAGCGGTTAAGACTTGGATTTAAAGCTACACATAATTTGGCTGACAGACAGACCTTTTGTGTATTCCACCCAACCATACTGTCTAAGGTGCCTTAAAGTGATCATAGTCCGATTTACTACTTAACTATTACTATAAATCAACACTTTGTTAAATATCCAAGCATTCGAATGTACACACAAACATAAATCAAAAACTATAATTGGTCAAAGCTGTTGCTGACCGTCATACTTACAGACGCTACGCAAGTAGTTCAGCCACCAAAGTGAACGGACTTTGTGTATTTTAGAACATATAAATGAATTTAACACTTTACTTTGTAGACATAAGAACACATGCACTTGCATGAGAACGCCGCCGTTCTCCTTTTGTTTCTTTTTATTTAATCCAATTCAATAAGTGCAAAAATATGACATTCAACTGTGTGTATATACCAAATAATAAGGAAAATAATGATAAACTCGCTTTGCGTATGATATAGGAGCATCAATATTTCAAATTTTAAGTCTGCAGGTCTTGTTGTTTCCTTGACCGTCGCGTTTATACAGACGGATAGATGGACTCCGCTTGGAAAAATCTTATAACTGACAGACAAGATCTCATAGACACATACAGACGGACGGACAAACCAATCGACTTCAGACAACACTTGGCAAAGTCGGAAACGAAATAATTTTTGAAATATATTACATACTTTTTGGATTTGATACCTTGGTACGTATCTCAGTCACAATAGTTGATATAAATGTGGTATATTGCTCAAAAAGCTCAGAATAAGTTATTTGGCATTGCGGGCATTTACCAAGAGCAGGTGTTATTACTGTCTCCTTCTCGCAGAAAGCACAAAATATACCATGGCGATTATTCTAAAAGTGACAATAAGGTTAAGAATAGAGTGAGATATTTTTATAATTTCTTACAATTGATTCGGCCACAGTTTGGTTAGAGCATGATTCCCTTGTGCAGTCTTCCATGACTTCGAAATACGATGTGTTTTTCAATTGATTGACAGAATCAGGAGTTACTGTCAAGTCTACATTAGCTTTTAGATTCATGGCGGCCATTAATTTAAATTCATCCCTATTTGAGTTCCTGTGAAACTGACTTATTAATATCTGAATGGTTATAAAACGAAATCAAAACATCTTAAATTACCTGCTCTCACAGTTTTCAAAACAAAAATTTGTGAAACTTATTACATTCCCACAAATTGTTGTAGTTTCCTGTCGCCGACACCCATCAACGCAAAAATAATCATAGAGAAACTTATGAAAATATTCTGCAAACTTTGAGAGAAGTTTGCAACGCTCTGAGGTATTTAAATTCAAAAGACATAGCTCGAAATAAGCCAAAGCTTTTGCTTTAACATCATTTAAATCGCCAACAGACTGCACCTTGGCGTTCTTAAGACATACAATAGAAATTTTATTGATATAATCAAACATTGTTTCAGGATTGTGTCTTTCGGAAAATAATCCTTCTTGATTACTCGAATGCTTACTCGACGAAATGCGTTCTTGCAGCCTATTATAACAATTCACAAAATCCAAGTGGGCGTTAATGGAGTGATAGCTAAATGCATTCGCGTTAATACGGGCATCAAGTGGACCTTGGTATTCCAGAATATCGAAGCTATCAGGGAATTTTTGCTGATATTCAAATTCATTTCTTTGAGAATTGAGTGTTATGTAAACATTCAAACGCATTAACAGTGCTGCAATAAGCTTAATGGTTTCAATTTTTGACATTTTAAGTTGGGAGAAAATTCTGTCATTGATATCTGTATCATTATACACGAAAACAGCCAGTCGAAAACCAGTTGTTACAAGCTGACGCCACTTTTCCGCTGTCAGTTGATTGCAGTCGGGTTGACAGGACAAGAACTTTGCGATACTATTATTAAAGTTTGCATTGTCAGCTCTTGCATATTTAACTATGAAGTCCCACGCAAAATCTGCATTCCGAATGGCTCTACAAAACAAGTCGTAAAAAAGTACATTTCATTTGCAATAGATTTAATACTCACCCATGCTTCTGGGCTAAGCTTGTTAATGCTGCTGACAAATATTTTGTGGCTTGTATAAATATTTTAAACAACAGTGTTGCATCCAGCATCTGTATTATTCCAATTTTGTAGCCATAACATTCAGTTTGGTGTTCTTCCCAATCAGATTGTATGCATTTTAAAGAACAGTACGTCTTGTAACGACATTCGATACATGTGTACAAAGAATCTCGATAATCTCCACACACTTCGCAATTCATAAACGGTGTACTAGATTGAAAAGAAAGCTAATTTTAAGATGACTTCTTCCTTCTTCTTTAGATTTCTTGCATAAGCAAGAACCATAATACTTAAAATTACTTTTACTTACCCACGTTTTCACTTACTAATTACTACAGGTGCTTACTTGTAAAATTTCGATCCGTTTAATGGCCCAGAGCTGACACCTTCCTTATTAATTTTGTAGTGTATATTCCTTGGAGATTGTTTAATTTCTTTTTTATATTTTTCCAAGAGCTTTAAAAACGTCTGCAATTCTAGATGAAGGTATTATATTCCATTAATTATTGTATGATAATTACTATTGCATTTACTTAATATCAACATTTGTTTACAAACTTTAAATGGTAGTAAATTGGTAGTGAAATTTCATTAAGATACCCACTAAGACTTAATTTTAAAGCTCTACGTAGATTATTAAATAAATGTATTTTTGATTATTAACCGATCTTTATCAGGGCAGAAATATGGTATCCAAATGTATGTAAATATCAATTTTTGAGAGAGTGAAGGAGGTATATACAAAGGAGGTATATACAAAGTAAAATATTTTTTTATCTATACCCGTATTCCCGTGCAGGGCTTGGAGAATAAATTGAAAGGCAATCGGACGAATCTTAAAACTTCGGCCAAACAAACTTTCCGCATTTACCAGCAAACAAACTTGGATTCTGCAAAGAAGTGTGAAATGAAAAACCTGTCTAAGCGTTCAGTCACGGCACATATGGTACTAAAAAGGTTCTAGTATCTGTTTGTACCATACGAAAACATGTAAAAAAAAATTTCTGAAATACACCTTTCTTATAACTTCTAAATAATGAAATTCAATTTATTAGTTAGACTCGATCTGACTCAATAAGCAAATAAGAGCATAACTTCTTTTGTTAATAATAACAACAAAAATCGTGCACGTTAAAACCTGCAGAGAATAAGAATATATTATTATTTATACACTTTTCATATTTACCGAAGATTTCGCGAAACAAATTTGCTGGCAATTTACCTGTAAAGAGAAATCAAACTAAATAGCGATATAAAACAAAACCAAAAATTAGTCTTATCGAGAATGTCCGGCCAGCAGATACCCTCTGCAATAAGGGTCATAACATCGCTCTCTTAGTAACGAGTCGAGAGAAAAGGTTTGACAAGCACTTTTAACATGGGCATGGGCAAAATTGCATATTCAGTTAATGCACGTACGTATCATTGGGTTCACGTGGTCGGTGAATAAATAAGGCGAGATGGAAGCAAATATCTCGAAAATGGACAATTTTACCTATAGGGATAGAATAGTTCCTTCGGACTGACATTGGCAATAAGAAGCTTATACTGATAAATATACTTTTATTAATTAATTATAAAAACCCGAATTCGGTCACGATATCTCGATAAACAAAAAAGTTGTTCGACTGATCGCACATGAGCGTCACTAAACCATGAGCTATGTCGTTTTGGAACGTCATATCTCCCCACGGAGCTATTTCCATCCGAGCGGAGGGAGTTATGTTGTTTTGGAACGTCATATCTCCCCGCGGAGCTAGTATCCATCATACCGCGCGGAGTTATGTCGTTTTGGAACGTCATATCTCCCCGCGGAGCTATTTCCATCCGAGCGGAGGGAGTTATGTCGTTTTGGAACGTCATATCTCCCCGCGGAGCTATTACCCATCATACCGCGCGGAGCTATGTCGTTTTGGAACGTCGTATCTCCCCGCGGAGCTATTACCCATCATACCGCGCGGAGTTATGTCGTTTTGGAACGTCATATCTCCCCGCGTGGCTATTTCCATCCGAGCGGAAGTAGTTATGTCGTTTTGGAACGTCATATCACCCCGCGGAGCTGTAACCCATCATACCGCGCGGAGTTATGTCGTTTTGGAACGTCATATCTCCCCGCGGAGCTATTTCCATCCGAGCGGAGGGAGTTATGTCGTTTTGGAACGTCATATCTCCCCGCGGAGCTATTACCCATCATACCGTGCGGAGTTATGTCGTTTTGGAACGTCATATCTCCCCGCGTGGCTATTTCCATCCGAGCGGAAGTAGTTATGTCGTTTTGGAACGTCATATCTCCCCGCGGAGCTATTTCCATCCGAGCGGAAGGAGTTATGTCGTTTTGGAACGTCATATCTCCCCGCGGAGCTATTTCCATCCGAGCGGAGGGAGTTATGTCCTTTTGGAACGTCATATCTCCCCGCGGAGCTATTTCCATCCGAGCGGAGGGAGTTATGTCGTTTTGAAACGTCATATCTTCGCGCGGAGTTATTTCCATCCGAGCGGAAGGAGTTATGTCGTTTTGGAACGTCATATCTCCCCGCGGAGCTATTTCCATCCGAGCGGAAGGAGTTATGTCGTTTTGGAACGTCATATCTCCCCGCGGAGCTATTTCCATCCGAGCGGAGGGAGTTATCTCCTTTTGGAACGTCATATCTCCCCGCGGAGCTATTTCCATCCGAGCGGAGGGAGTTATGTCGTTTTGAAACGTCATATCTTCGCGCGGAGTTATGTCGTTTTGGAACGTCATATCTCCCCGCGGAGCTATTTCCATCCGAGCGGAGGGAGTTATGTCGTTTTGAAACGTCATATCTTCGCGCGGAGTTATGTCGTTTTGGAACGTCATATCTCCCCGCGGAGCTATTACCCATCATACCGCGCGGAGTTATGTCGTTTTGGAACGTCATATCTCCCCGCGGAACTATTTCCATCCGAGCGGAGGGAGTTATGTCGTTTTGGAACGTCATATCTCCCCGCGGAGCTATTTCCATCCGAGCGGAAGGAGTTATGTCGTTTTGGAACGTCATATCTCCCCGCGGAGCTATTTCCATCCGAGCGGAGGGAGTTATGTCGTTTTGGAACGTCATATCTCCGCGCGGAGTTATGTCGTTTTAGAACGTCATATCTCCCCGCGGAGCTATTTCCATCCGAGCGGAGGGAGTTATGTCGTTTTGAAACGTCATATCTTCGCGCGGAGTTATGTCGTTTTGGAACGTCATATCTCCCCGCGGAGCTATTACCCATCATACCGCGCGGAGTTATGTCGTTTTGGAACGTCATATCTCCCCGCGGAGCTATTACCCATCATACCGTGCGGAGTTATGTCGTTTTGAAACGTCATATCTTCGCGCGGAGTTATGTCGTTTTGGAACGTCATATCTCCCCGCGGAGCTATTACCCATCATACCGCGCGGAGTTATGTCGTTTTGGAACGTCATATCTCCCCGCGGAGCTATTACCCATCATACCGTGCGGAGTTATGTCGTTTTGGAACGTCATATCTCCGCGCGGAGTTATGTCGTTTTGAAACGTCATATCTCCGCGCGGAGTTATGTCGTTTTGGAACGTCATATCTCCCCGCGGAGCTATTTCCATCCGAGCGGAAGGAGTTATGTCGTTTTGGAACGTCATATCTCCCCGCGGAGCTATTTCCATCCGAGCGGAGGGAGTTATGTCGTTTTGGAACGTCATATCTCCCCGCGGAGCTATTACCCATCATACCGCGCGGAGTTATGTCGTTTTGGAACGTCATATCTCCGCGCGGAGTTATGTCGTTTTGAAACGTCATATCTCCGCGCGGAGTTATGTCGTTTTGGAACGTCACATCTCCCCGCGGAGCTATTTCCATCCGAGCGGAAGGAGCTATGTCGTTTTGGAACGTCATATCTCCCCGCGGAGTTATGTCGTTTTGGAACGTCATATCTCCCCGCGGAGCTATTTCCATCCGAGCGGAAGGAGTTATGTCGTTTTGGAACGTCATATCTCCCCGCGGAGCTATTTCCATCCGAGCGGAGGGAGTTATGTCGTTTTGGAACGTCATATCTCCCCGCGGAGCTATTACCCATCATACCGTGCGGAGTTATGTCGTTTTGGAACGTCATATCTCCCCGCGGAGCTATTACCCATCATACCGCGCGGAGTTATGTCGTTTTGGAACGTCATATCTCCGCGCGGAGTTATGTCGTTTTGGAACGTCATATCTCCGCGCGGAGTTATGTCGTTTTGAAACGTCATATCTCCGCGCGGAGTTATGTCGTTTTGGAACGTCATATCTCCCCGCGGAGCTATTTCCATCCGAGCGGAAGGAGCTATGTCGTTTTGAAACGTCATATCTCCGCGCGGAGTTATGTCGTTTTGGAACGTCATATCTCCCCGCGGAGCTATTTCCATCCGAGCGGAAGGAGTTATGTCGTTTTGGAACGTCATATCTCCCCGCGGAGCTATTTCCATCCGAGCGGAGGGAGTTATGTCGTTTTGGAACGTCATATCTCCCCGCGGAGCTATTACCCATCATACCGCGCGGAGTTATGTCGTTTTGAAACGTCATATCTCCCCGCGGAGCTATTACCCATCATACCGTGCGGAGTTATGTCGTTTTGGAACGTCATATCTCCGCGCGGAGTTATGTCGTTTTGAAACGTCATATCTCCGCGCGGAGTTATGTCGTTTTGGAACGTCACATCTCCCCGCGGAGCTATTTCCATCCGAGCGGAAGGAGCTATGTCGTTTTGGAACGTCATATCTCCGCGCGGAGTTATGTCGTTTTGGAACGTCATATCTCCCCGCGGAGCTATTTCCATCCGACCGGAAGGAGTTATGTCGTTTTGGAACGTCATATCTCCCCGCGGAGCTATTTCCATCCGAGCGGAAGGAGTTATGTCGTTTTGGAACGTCATATCTCCCCGCGGAGCTATTTCCATCCGAGCGGAGGGAGTTATGTCGTTTTGGAACGTCATATCTCCCCGCGGAGCTATTACCCATCATACCGCGCGGAGTTATGTCGTTTTGGAACGTCATATCTCCCCGCGGAGCTATTACCCATCATACCGTGCGGAGTTATGTCGTTTTGGAACGTCATATCTCCCCGCGGAGCTATTTCCATCCGAGCGGAGGGAGTTATGTCGTTTTGAAACGTCATATCTTCGCGCGGAGTTATGTCGTTTTGGAACGTCATATCTCCCCGCGGAGCTATTTCCATCCGAGCGGAGGGAGTTATGTCGTTTTGAAACGTCATATCTTCGCGCGGAGTTATGTCGTTTTGGAACGTCATATCTCCCCGCGGAGCTATTACCCATCATACCGTGCGGAGTTATGTCGTTTTGGAACGTCATATCTCCCCGCGGAGCTATTTCCATCCGAGCGGAGGGAGTTATGTCGTTTTGGAACGTCATATCTCCGCGCGGAGTTAAGTCGTTTTGGAACGTCATATCTCCCCGCGGAGCTATTTCCATCCGAGAGGAGGGAGTTATGTCGTTTTGAAACGTCATATCTTCGCGCGGAGTTATGTTGTTTTGGAACGTCATATCTCCCCGCGGAGCTGTTACCCATCATACCGCGCGGAGTTATGTCGTTTTGGAACGTCATATCTCCCCGCGGAGCTATTACCCATCATACCGTGCGGAGTTATGTCGTTTTGAAACGTCATATCTTCGCGCGGAGTTATGTCGTTTTGGAACGTCATATCTCCCCGCGGAGCTATTACCCATCATACCGCGCGGAGTTATGTCGTTTTGGAACGTCATATCTTCGCGCGGAGTTATGTCGTTTTGGAACGTCATATCTCCCCGCGGAGCTATTACCCATCATACCGTGCGGAGTTATGTCGTTTTGGAACGTCATATCTCCCCGCGGAGCTATTTCCATCCGAGCGGAGGGAGTTATGTCGTTTTGGAACGTCATATCTCCGCGCGGAGTTAAGTCGTTTTGGAACGTCATATCTCCCCGCGGAGCTATTTCCATCCGAGCGGAGGGAGTTATGTCGTTTTGAAACGTCATATCTTCGCGCGGAGTTATGTCGTTTTGGAACGTCATATCTCCCCGCGGAGCTATTACCCATCATACCGCGCGGAGTTATGTCGTTTTGGAACGTCATATCTCCCCGCGGAGCTATTTCCATCCGACCGGAAGGAGTTATGTCGTTTTGGAACGTCATATCTCCCCGCAGAGCTATTTCCATCCGAGCGGAAGGTGTTATGTCGTTTTGGAACGTCATATCTCCCCGCGGAGCTATTTCCATCCGAGCGGAGGGAGTTATGTCGTTTTGGAAAGTCATATCTCCCCGCGGAGCTATTACCCATCATACCGCGCGGAGTTATGTCGTTTTGGAACGTCATATCTCCCCGCGGAGCTATTACCCATCATACCGTGCGGAGTTATGTCGTTTTGGAACGTCATATCTCCCCGCGGAGCTATTTCCATCCGAGCGGAGGGAGTTATGTCGTTTTGAAACGTCATATCTTCGCGCGGAGTTATGTCGTTTTGGAACGTCATATCTCCCCGCGGAGCCATTTCCATCCGAGCGGAGGGAGTTATGTCGTTTTGAAACGTCATATCTTCGCGCGGAGTTATGTCGTTTTGGAACGTCATATCTCCCCGCGGAGCTATTACCCATCATACCGTGCGGAGTTATGTCGTTTTGGAACGTCATATCTCCCCGCGGAGCTATTTCCATCCGAGCGGAGGGAGTTATGTCGTTTTGGAACGTCATATCTCCGCGCGGAGTTAAGTCGTTTTGGAACGTCATATCTCCCCGCGGAGCTATTTCCATCCGAGCGGAGGGAGTTATGTCGTTTTGAAACGTCATATCTTCGCGCGGAGTTATGTCGTTTTGGAACGTCATATCTCCCCGCGGAGCTATTACCCATCATACCGCGCGGAGTTATGTCGTTTTGGAACGTCATATCTCCCCGCGGAGCTATTACCCATCATACCGTGCGGAGTTATGTCGTTTTGGAACGTCATATCTCCCCGCGGAGCTATTTCCATCCGAGCGGAGGGAGTTATGTCGTTTTGAAACGTCATATCTTCGCGCGGAGTTATGTCGTTTTGGAACGTCATATCTCCCCGCGGAGCTATTACCCATCATACCGCGCGGAGTTATGTCGTTTTGGAACGTCATATCTCCCCGCGGAGCTATTACCCATCATACCGTGCGGAGTTATGTCGTTTTGAAACGTCATATCTTCGCGCGGAGTTATGTCGTTTTGGAACGTCATATCTCCCCGCGGAGCTATTACCCATCATACCGTGCGGAGTTATGTCGTTTTGGAACGTCATATCTCCGCGCGGAGTTAAGTCGTTTTGGAACGTCATATCTCCCCGCGGAGCTATTTCCATCCGAGCGGAGGGAGTTATGTCGTTTTGAAACGTCATATCTCCGCGCGGAGTTATGTCGTTTTGGAACGTCATATCTCCCCGCGGAGCTATTTCCATCCGAGCGGAGGGAGTTATGTCGTTTTGAAACGTCATATCTTCGCGCGGAGTTATGTCGTTTTGGAACGTCATATCTCCCCGCGGAACTATTTCCATCCGAGCGGAGGGAGTTATGTCGTTTTGAAACGTCATATCTTCGCGCGGAGTTATGTCGTTTTGGAACGTCATATCTCCCCGCGGAGCTATTACCCATCATACCGCGCGGAGTTATGTCGTTTTGGAACGTCATATCTCCCCGCGGAGCTATTACCCATCATACCGTGCGAAGTTATGTCGTTTTGAAACGTCATATCTTCGCGCGGAGTTATGTCGTTTTGGAACGTCATATCTCCCCGCGAAGCTATTACCCATCATACCGCGCGGAGTTATGTCGTTTTGGAACGTCATATCTCCCCGCGGAGCTATTACCCATCATACCGTGCGAAGTTATGTCGTTTTGAAACGTCATATCTTCGCGCGGAGTTATGTCGTTTTGGAACGTCATATCTCCCCGCGAAGCTATTACCCATCATACCGCGCGGAGTTATGTCGTTTTGGAACGTCATATCTCCCCGCGGAGCTATTACCCATCATACCGTGCGAAGTTATGTCGTTTTGAAACGTCATATCTTCACGCGGAGTTATGTCGTTTTGGAACGTCATATCTCCCCGCGGAGCTATTACCCATCATACCGTGCGGAGTTATGTCGTAATATCTCCCCGCGTAGCTTCATGGTTTAGTGGACCGAACTGGCCGGTTCCCACAACAGAAAGAAGGATCTATGCAATGGTTTAGGACAACAGCTTGAATAGGAACAGAAGAATAGACAGACAGAGATGGCTCTATCGACTGAGACATCTACATACTGAGCGTGATCAAAATTTGATATATCAAGCGGAATTCGGTATTAATTAATATCTCGTACTAATAGGGAAATATACTTAATCTGTTACATATATACACAACTTTAGTGTACTCGTTTAATATCATTTTAGCTGAAGCCGATATAAGAATTTATATATATTTACCCAAAACTTCCTCCAATTGATATAAATGAAACCTAGCATCGTGCATTTTTCTCATCAAATACAAAGACAGGCATAATAGAGTTTGTACGATTAATATTCCGTCTGTTGTCATAAGTTTGGGATTGAATCGCTTATAATATTCCAAGTCGCTTCTTGCCAACTGAAAGTATACATGGTACATGCTTAAACATTAAGCCAAATACTTGGCAAGCTATTTCAATTTTCGATACAGACGGGATACTTCTGGATTTGCACAAGGTAGACGCTGCGTGCCAAAAGTGCATCTAGAAATACAGTCGTATTGGTAGGAGTTCGACAAATAATTTTATTGAGTAATTGTAGTCCCTGAAAAGATAACATATTTAAATACAATGCAAATGGAAATAACTATGTACTTATTTGTGGGAATACTACTTACTTTTAGTGACGTCTTAATGTCGTTTGACTTAACAAATTTGGTGGCCATGTTCAGCCAATTTTCCGAATCTTTGACAATGCCATCGAAAAATGCATTTGATGCATTTTTAAGTATAAGCACAAATAGTTCAGATTCACTTGATGGATTAAAAGAAATAAAATGTTTGTAAGTATATTAGCATACCTATATGCATGTGTATAGGAAGGTACTACATATGTACATATGTATTTACCTAGTCAGAATGCCAACCAGTTCAATAACACTTACATCAGATTTTGCGGACACGTAACACGACTCATGGTTTCAAAATCGTCGTCCCGAACGTCCGTCAAAATGTTTAAGTACATCTTATCCATTGCCACTAACAATCTGCAAATTAATACTTTAATTTAGCGCGTTGTAGGAATCGATAAGTGTGACCGAGTTGAACCAAGGAAATAAAAACCGAAACGAATTTCTCTTTTACAAAGGCTTTTATTATTGTCAGCAGCAGTATATGCCGAATCAAAAGTTATTCAAGTAACTCTTTATTTAAAAATAAAAAATTTATTAATTTATTGTTTGGCACTTGTTTGTAAAAGATTTACTTGATTTTTGAGGTTGTTTCAACACTTGCTTTGTATAAGAAACCACATACTTAGATTTCCATGGGTTTGTTTGCTATTAACTATGTTACATTTTAAATTTACTTAAATTTAGTTTTACAACTAACAGCCGTCAAATTAAATTCGAGCAATATGGTATTATTATTTCTAACGTTCACAGCATAAAACCAATAATTAAAATATTTGTTAAATAAGATGTTCTTAATAAGAAATACAAATACAAAACTATTACTGTGGTCAAGCATTGGCATAAAGCATTTCATTTATATTTGTACATCGAATATTAAAATGATAATTAATATTATACCCGAATGTTAATGAATAGTTTTCAAAATGGTACTTGTTTCGCTTTTGTGTAAGGTTCAAGAATACCCTTATGTTTTCCGTGATTTGTGCGGCAGCCCTATTTTTGTACTTACCAACACTACGATTATTATTAAAAAAATTGTTCACTATATTAAGTTGTATTAAACAATAACAATATGAAAAGAAAAACAAGTGAAATCTGGTGCTTCTTTCGGGCAGTTGACGACACATTTGCCCTGTGTAACATATGCAAGGCCAAGTTGTCCTACAAAACGACAACAACCAATTTAAGTAAACACATGAACAGAATGCACCCAAACGCAAATGTTTCGGGATCGGCACAGAATCGCAAGTATAAAATGTTGCCCCAGCTGAATGATCGCCATCGAGGCAAACCTCGAAACCCTGCGCAGGAGTTAATATTACTTAACTTCATAAAGAAACATCCCGTTTTACTGCAAAATCCTTCATGGGACACACGCAACGCATTCGAATCGCTTTGGGACCAACTCACGTTGGAGCTAAATGGTAGTGGACCGCCACAAAAAGACGTGGCGACTTGGAAAAAGGTAAGGTGTTTATTTTATCGTGCGTTTCTTTCTTCTAATTAACCTGCGATTCTCTTTTGCGTAGGCTTTGAAGGACTGGAAAAGATTTATAATCAAGAAAGTGGAAAAAAATGAAATGCACAATATTCCCTTAGCAACCGGTCTAAGCTCCGCGGAGGAAACTATAGCTAGTTTGTGTCGTTTGAACGATGATGTCAGCCAAATTATAATGAATGCATCCGAGGATGACCTACAAGACAACTCCAATGCGACATTTGACATGGAAGACGTTGAGGACGTTGTGCCTGAGGAGGAAGATCATAGCGCTCTGCAAGATGCTTCCGGATTCGCCTATGAGCCAGAAGATTCAAAAGCCGAAATTGATATTGACCCACTCTTCTTACAGAGTGGCAAAAGTTCGAAATTTGGTGCGAGAGCCATTAAAAAAGAACTTGAAATAATGACTAAACAAATCAGTTTGGTCAGTGATGTTGCGAGCAGTACGCAACTAGCGCTAAGTGAATTTTGCGCGCTTTATAAACAAAAGTTAATTGAGAACAAGAGGCATAACTCAGTAATTGAACAATTGATGGCCGAAAAAATAGAAATAAAAAAAAAACTCTTGGAAATTGAGCAACGGAAATTGTCGCTGAAATGACGAGATTCTATCTATCAGTTACCAATATAATTTTTTGCATATAATTAGAAAATAATTAAGGTGAATTTGATTATACGCCTTTAAGTAAGTAGTTTGTAATTCAACATATTGTGTCTAAAAACAAAATGTTTTAAACCAGTCAATTTAGTGAAGATAAAATTTATTTCCGTGCATGTCAAATCAAAAGTTACATTTTATCTTAAATCCAAAATTTGAAATGTACGTTAGAAATACGGACTTCTACCCATTATTGAAACAACTTTTGCGATGTTTGTCACGACAGCTGTAAAAATAATAATAATCTATGCCTACATGACATACAATACCCGAAACTTTGTATCTGATGTATGTATTTAATTCGATCGGATTGAATTCTTTGAGTACATGATTAATTTTAATTTTTGATTTAACTGCCAAATATGAAACTTGCGATAAGTACCACAAGAAATTAATACTTATTTGTTATTCGCCTCTTTTGTGAAGAACAAACTATGATTCCGTTGTTAGATCTTTGTTCAAATTCATTCTCACACATTTCGAAAAATCGATGCACACTAGTGGAAATAAAGGTGGAAGAAGTTGCGGGTTCAAATTCATTTCCAAAGGTTTGTATAAAAATTGCTGTGAGACATAAAATTTCTAGATCTTTGCGAAAGTTCGTTTGATACTGTTTCACACTTTTCTCAAAGTCCGTCCCACTTCGATGCGACTTAAGGTTGTAAAGGCAAAGTTTAAAGTTTCGTCCGATCGGATTTGAACTCGTTTAGAGAGATCTTTGTGAACATTTACTTGACACGTTTTTTGCATAATCCACTGCTAAGTGAACGAAAGTTTTACAAGCTTATACACAAGACTAACATGGGCGGAAACCGCCGATTCCAACTTTTGGTTTTTTATTCGATGGGCTATCCATGTAAAATATAACTTTAGAGGTGGAGCTCAATTTAGTAATATATAATTATAGACTTAAATTGTGAACGAGTGGGAAATGGGGGCAAAGATTGAAAACAATAATTTAAAATATTACCTGCGCGCCTAAGAAATCGAAAAATTAGTTTGAATAATGCGGAGTAGCGCTAACAGAAAAATACGTATTTTCTTTATTTTTGACCACAGTATAAAGTTTCTAACCGAATAAAAAACGCTTTTTTACCATTTTCTATGGGTACAGGTATATAAAGTAAAAAATATGTTTTATTCCCAACCAATTGTTATCGCAGCTTATTTCGCAAAAGTTATCGATATGCACATGAAGGCGATAGTTGTAACATTGTAAATAAATGTGGATGTGGCCTGTGGATGGTGTGGATTGCATTCAACTTCTTCTTCTCAACTTAACCATTCATGGTGACTGACAAGTCATGATAATTTTTTATAAAACAAATAGTTTTTCGCAATGGACGATTCGTTTTTCGGGTTTGATACAACTACAAGTGTGCCGGTAAGAAATTTAATGGACAACAACTATAGTAATGTACCCAATGTAAAGGAAGCCATAGACTCGTTTTCGGCAAAAATCACAATTGTCTGGAAACAGAAAAATGCATCTAAATTGCTAGCATGCTTATTTTTATATTATTCAAATGTAAAAATGTTAAATCAATTCAAATGTTAAACATCATTTATAGGATGAAGATGGCAGTGACGGACGAATTGCAGAGCCCCCGGAAGAAGAGTACGACGCTCTTAACGATGAAACGTTTGGCTCGGCTATAAATGGCGACTGGGAAGAAGCCCACGAAACGCTTGTCCTACTCGGGGGCAATGGCGAAAAAGCTCGCAAAGGGTCTGACTTCACAGATCACAGCCAGAGCGGCAATGGCGCTTTCCAGAGTCAGCATCAGCATATGCACCTGCGTGGTTTCCAAAGCGGAAGCATTGACGACTCGGACTTGGAACTGAATTTGTCGTCAATGAAATTAGATGACGTTGATGTAAGTTCGTTCGGAGAAAGCGATGGAAACAACCGCATCAACTTGGACTCGGGTGTTTGGACAACTCATCCCCCCTTTCCAATACCGAACAATCAACAGCTTTTTCGAGATAACTTTCGCAGCGCATTTAAGTTCCAACCACAGGCAACCGCAAGCACAGGCACACAAATGAAGCCATTACATGAATCAAATGCCAATTTTGGATTACCCCCAATGCCACCACCCGCGTCGGCTAAAATCTCGACGCTTGAGGACATTGAACGGAATCTAATCATACAACAGGCAATACCCAAACAGCAGATACATCAGCAGGTGCAACCTTTGCACCAACAGGACTTCAATGTGGGCAATCGGCAGCATGTGGTGGTAACGCCAACAATATCCCAACATCAGCAACAGCTACAAAAGCCACCGCAGCACAAGGGTAAGGCCAAGTGTTTTCGTATTTATTGTTTAACCTATATTGCAAAAACAATTGTTTATTAATATTATGGACTTGGCAGCTAATAGACCAAATTTCGCAATAGACTTGGCTCGGAGAAATCCGTGCTGTCATAATCTCACCCGGTCAAGTTATATCCGTTGTGCTCTTTTGGAAACTTTAATCTTTCACGGCCTCGTATGTCTACCCTAAAAGATTTTTCATTGAGGGTAGTATAATTTTGTCGTGAAATATGTAAAGCATAGATGGGAGACATCTGCGACACCATAAACTATAATTTGTGGATATGCGTCTACAGCTGAGTTGAAATAGGCATGTCCGTCTGCCTGTTTGAATGCAAGCTAGTATCTCAGCTTTAAAGCTGTCGTCTTATAACATTGCTTGGGTCCGACATTCAACAGAAGAAACAGAACTTTTGCAGATAGTCCATATGTCGGAGCCGTTTGGATCACACCATTCTATCATACAGCTGACATAGAAACAATCGGTCGTGTGTAACAAAATATTTTTTGATTGAATTTCATTTATTTGTTTATCTTGACCAAAATCGACATATCAATATCGTTTTTGTATGGCAAAGTATTCTGTTATCCACGATATTTTCATTAAACTCAGCGTTTCGGAGCTTCACTATTCGGACGTATCTGCAAAACCGTGAGGCAAATGTGTACATATTAATACATCATTTTACCGTACTGTCATGGCTCATAAATATATGCTCAAATTCAATATTTAATGTACTCACCTTGCTACTTTCTCCAAGAATATAATGAAATGGGAATCTAGATTACGATTTTGTTATATAACTAAATGAATCATTTCAAATGTTTATGCATACATAAGTTATGTAAATAGAGCTCATTAACATGATACATTTAAACAATACGATAACAAGATTTAAAACTAATGTAATTTTAGCACCTCCTGGATTTTTGTCAACGCCGCAAACACCGCCACCAAGGCAAAATGTCGGATTTCATGGTCCACACCCGCTGGGTAGTGCTGGTCCAATGCCGACAGCCGGCGCAGGCCTAATGCCGACGCCCCAATCACAACAGCATCAACAGTTAAACGGTATCAGTGGGAATCGTGTTCCGCCTGGGTTTATATATCCAACTGGCCTGGCTACGAACCTGCCGCAACACCCATTGCTGCAACAGCATGTCTTGCCGCCCAGTTTTCCCCGTCCACTGCCAAACCCACTTTTGCCCACGGCGCTCAACAATTTTGCCATGCATCCGAGCTTTAATGCAATGCGCGCCGTTGGCATGCACCCGGCGGCCTTTATGCAGCCTATTCCGCCGCCACGTCTGCCGCCACACAATCTGCTCAATCAACAACCCAACTCTATGTATAACATGTTTAATATGCGCCTTGTGCAGGAAATTCAGCAGAACCATCCGCTTCTCCAGAACGCAGCTGTTGCGCGTCAACAGCAGCAAAGTCGTGCTGGCGATCGCCAAAAGCAACAGCAGCAGCCCCAACAGCAGCCGCAACAACAGCAGCTAAATCGTTATGGCGGCAATCTTCCTCAGGAGGAGTTTGATGAGTACGCCAATCTGATGAGTACGCGCGATAAGCATTGGCTCATAGGAATTCAGCTCTCACAGTTAAACACGGACACACCATATATTGACGACTACTACTACACGGTGCACAGGGAGCGCAGAAATGGTCAAGTGCGTCACAGTAAGGCACATAAGGACAACCAGTTGAACCATCCACTAACACAGCCGCGGGGCCATGCGCAGCTAATATTGGTTCAGTTAGGTAATAAAAATGGATCGCGCAATGGCCAGCAACATCGTGAGAGACGGAATTCAGACAACGCGAACAGCAGCAACGCTAGCGGCGTCACAAATAGTGGCAACAACAGCAATGCTCTACCGGGCTATATCTTTTCGCCCTTGAAGTTCGAGAATTCGCTGGGAAAGCTACAGTACGGAAGTGTTACAGCGCCCCGCAAAATTATTGATGCTGATATCATGGGTAGCGATATAAGTCCAATGGATAATGCCTTGTCGTTATCATCAACAACTGGGCAAAATACCGATAAAACCAATGAATATCAAAACGAAGTGGTCCTGGTGCCGAGCAGCATGCGTAAATCTCGCCATATTTTGCTACACATAGAGACCCTGTATCGATACCTGCTTAAACTAGAGGACCTGGAAAGTCCCGAGGTTATGGCGACTATTATTTTGAAGAAGAAGAAAGAAAGCGAACGCATTGCCGCTGTAGAACAACTCGAAATGGCTAATAAAACGGCCGAGGAGCGCGAGGCTGAGGCAGCTAATCCGCAAACAATGAATCCAGCGCTAAAAAATAAATTCAACTATGAAATTGAGTCGCGCCATGTTTTAGTGAACAAACTGAAATCCGGCCTCACGTTTAATAAAGTTGTATCCATGATGAATGTGCGCAAGGGCAAGGTATATGCTACAAATGTATGGTTTCCTACACGTATTCATGGGGTTTTTTTATTTTTGCTTTCTTCAGATACTTTTACGCCGCATCATGCCATTTATTGCTGATCAGACAATACGCTGGACCGTTTGGAGTGGAGTTTTCTGTTCACTACAAAATGTCGTTAAGAAAGATCGTGAAGACGTGGAGGGTGCGCTTTATGCGCTTTATCCGGAGTTCAGAAAGCACATACACGATGCAAATTTGGAAACAATTATCAACATTTCGGTTGCGTTTACATTGAATGACAAAAAGATGTCTGGCATTTTCTGTAGTCGCGTAAGTTAAAATGATTTGCCTTTGACCCAACCTAAAGCTCAATGCCACGCATTAACCGCATTTTTAGTTTGGCATTCTGTCGCTCGTCGGATTAATAATACGGGTCGAGGCGATTTACATTTCGGGCATTGATGCAACGCTTACTGAGGATAACCGACAAAAATGGCGTGAGTTTCTCGCACAGGTTGCTTCCTGCCTTAATCGCACCATACAAAATCAAACCATCTCAGCGGCAATTGAGTCAGATGCCATTCAGCCAATGATGAATCATTTTGCACGTTTCAAAGACTTGAAACTAGATGCGCTTTTGGCTTTAATTACAGAGGCCAAACATCAAATTAATTAAACAAAGGCATTATTTCATTTCAATTGATTTTGTAATTGAAAAGTTATATTTTCCTTGCATTAGGTCTGTCATTAATGTTGGGTTATTCAGCAGTTAATATATGTATGAATTATGTATCTACATATACATTTGTGTTGTGTTTAATTTTACATATACATAATACACGCGCACAATTTGTAAAAGAAATCCATGGATACACCAAGTACATATATAAATAAACATGCACATGTATGTACATTATACATGTACATTTATCACAAGCAGGGCTCATATACATATAAACTAACGCGAAACAATATTTGAACTACACAAAAAAAATGTGAATCATGTAAACAAATTCAAAATCTGTTTTTTCATCCATAGTAATATGCCCCTAAAAATCAAAATACTTGTTATGGCATCAAACATTTTGCTCATTGTATATATGCCATTCTGTATTTAATAGTGAATACATGTCGACAGCTATATTTTATTGAGGTTTATAATATTGTACTACTCTCTTTTATTTTAACTTGTTTGATTGATTTACATATTTTATTTACATTTCCATTAAGTAAACTTGTGCGTAATTAAAAATTTAATAGAATTAAAATTGCTCCCAATGCACATTTATTTATTGATATACATTTCTAAAGCATAACAAATTAACATTAGCGTGATTTAAAGAATCCGATCTATTTTTGTTCATATTTACATTAACAATTTCCTATACAGTTTCGGTAGTTTGTAAATATCAAGCCTATACATCCACTTGGAACATATTGTGCGATGTGTTTTTTTTTTAAAATCAAATTTGTCTCACATGCGCACTTTATTTTAAATATAAAAAAAAAACTGACGTTTCTAATACAAGAATATTCAAAATTGTGATACATTTTGTGTATTTTTAAACTTAACTTAATAGAAAAGAAAAAGCATTCAGCACAGCAGAAGTGTTTTATTGCTCATTTCTGTTTTATAGAAATAAAATAAACAAAAAGCAAATTGTGAGATTCCAAACAAAATTTGTAAATTATCTTTGTTTTATGTATTCAATAATGTAACCGGTTACCGCGATTAATAAGTTGTATGTTGTCTTTTTCGCATAAGTTTCAATTTATTCGTGCTCTTTATTTCATTTTAAAACAAGATATTTTCAAAAAAAAAAAAAACCGAATATGTCGGCTTTTTCACAATTAAATTACAGTTTTAAGTAAATACACCTTGAATGGGATATATTACATATACAACAGCAAGTATATGTTGTGTTTATTTAGGTATTGAAAGCACTTTAATTTTTGGCATAACACGTTTTTTTATTGTTTTTAAAACCAAAAAATAAGCATAACAATGTACTTGACTTGGAATAATAATAAAAACAACATGACGGCCCACACATAATAGAATAATATTTATTTCAAATGATTATATTTTGTTTTTTTAGTAGTGTAATGGAACATTATTAAGAAGATTGCTAAAATTGTTTGTGAAAACAAACTAGTTTGTAATAATCTCTTTTTTACTTTCATGCATTTGTGTGAATTATTAAAAAATATTTAAAAATCTAAAATGACATGGTATTTAAAATAAGAGAGTCTCAGTCGGGAGAAGATAACCTCAGCCTAGTGCCGAGACGTCATTACAAACATTCTGATTTCCGCCCAAAAATATATGCACAACAGTGCTCAAGTCGAGACTGCCCGACTCGGAGATACCCTGAATCCTACCCTCCACATTGCCCCACGCTATAACCAATAAATTCGTTATTAACTTCGAGGTTTATCATTATCAATTTTAAAGGGTAACATGATAAAATTGATATGTATTTCAAATGTAAAGTCAGTAAGAGACTTGACAAGATCGACGAAACTCATCATCGTATTGATAAATATATTATATATATTATATCCCACCATATCTGTGAGGATTATATTGCATAGAATGTGGCATTCAAGACTACAAAAATGTTCATTTTTTTTTTTTAAATTCAAATAAAAAGGGTATCTAATCTTTGTCAACATTTGCTTTCACTAAACTCTTCTTTCTCATATACCTATAAACATACAGGCCTATCAAGTGGAAATCCAATACAACTCGTCTTCTTCGACGCCTCAACTATTCTTGCTTCTAATTAAAAAAAAGCGGCGGCATTTGTCGCGACAATGGTGGTAATAATGGCGCCCAATTCGCCACACCCTGCCAATGTCCTTTTTAAAATCAAAGCTGTGCGTACGAGTATCCGTATCCGGTTAGTCCTGCATGTTCCTATGTATGCTCGAATGTGTATTCGGCCTGACTGTAGCTCGTGCCACAATCGCCCTAACTGTCGCGACATGAGCACAATGCGGCAAGGGAATTGTCGCCACAAGAGCAAGCCGTATCTAGCTTTGGCTGCTTCATACTAAGCATGTGGGTGTGTGTGCGCGTAGCTTACTTCATTGAGAAATAATAAGATGCCGACAAGTTGTCGTCGGGCTGGTCGTCGTTGGCGCTGACATCATTAGTTGTGCCCGCTGTCGACGCCGCCGATTCTGGGTTTTGCAAAACATCCGAAGTAGGCGACACTTGTAACACACTTTGGTGCCTTGTTGGCAGTGATAACAAGAGCATTCAAAATTTGACGCTTGACATCTACAAATGTGTAAGCAAATGCACCAACTATTCATTTGCAAATTAGTCTACAATAAAACGCGACACCTAATTTGCGCAACCTACTCAAAATAGCTACATTTGGGGAGGAGTATTAAGGCAATGCAATTGTGGGCATAGCATACTTCAATTCGTATATTAATTACTTATGCCATTAATTTGTTAATTAAAAAATGCAGCAGTAGTGAATCATGTAATAGTTATACAAGTAGAAATGTTGAACTCGGGTGCAACCGATTGCTCGCAGTTATATATTATACATATATATATATATATATATATATAGATTTCTTGGTTTTTGAAGAGTTTTGCGGCTGGGGCAAAAAGAACAGCCCCTAAATGTTCAGATGTTTGTAATAGTAGCTCGGAAACGATCTCGGAATCTATAAGAACTGGGAGAAAACCGGAGAAAACAATTTACTTTCAGGTTCTTCAAAAAATTTAAAAAAAAAACGGATAGGTACAGACATCTTTGTCACGCCGAAAATTTAATACCCTTGTAGAAATTTGCCTCACGGTTTTGTAGATACGTTTGAGAAATAAAGAGAGAGGGAGAGAGAGAAGATCGTTAGTGCTAAGTTTGATGAAAATATGTTAGAAAGAAGAATATTTTGCAATAAAAAAACTCAACTTTCAACCGATTCTTCATAAAGAGCTGTTAATATAGAATTGCGATTTAGATAAGCATTGACTCTGATATGAGCAGCATAGTGAAACTTGATAAAACTATTATCTGTTCGCAAAAGGACTTAATTTTCGACAGATCGTTTCTATTGTAGCTATATCAGATCAGCTTGGAGAACGTGAGATGAATCATCCTTTAATGACAATACTTTTAATACTCTTTATAAGCTTGAAAAAAACACTTTTGTTGTATTTTATTTAACAATTTTATTTAACTATTTATTCTTTAGAATATTACTGAAACAGTCCTTGCTGCCTATTTCTACGGAATAAGGCCTCGGTTTTCAAAATATAATTTCAAAGTGTTTTTTGTGCAAGTCCTTATAACGAATTTTATGATCGCTTATTGTTTTCAAATTGGTCAAAAACTAAGGCGTCCTGATATGATTAAGTCTCTGACTCGGCGACATTTTTCTGTGTGGCGTCTCGCGGAATTCTCGAGCGGCACAGTGGGTTCAACACGAAAACAATTGATGTGAATAATTGTTAACTTTAGTTAATATAGGCTGTCATAGGCTTGCATATGCATTAGCATACATAGAATCATTAATTATTAATCGAATTATATTTGAAGCACAGGTGAAGCATCTTAGTTGTGTATACGCTCGCCGCTCCACGGTACAAGCCCACATCAAGCTGCTGGAAGGGCTTTTTGCCAATGCGACGCCAAGGATGGACGCGGGCATTTCTCCAGGGGGTTGTCGTTATGACTGTTATTGTTGCTGTTGTTATGGCTGGCGTTGTTTAGTTGACTTCGGCCGCCAGTCGCCGTCTGCGTTACCGTCGCCATCGCGGTTGCCGCCAGTGTAGCTGGAGCCGGCACCCGGCAGACCGGCAGCCAACATTCGACAACGAAACTGAGCGCAGATACAGATACAAATAGGTTTAAGATTCAACACCATGGGGACAAGAAGCCAAGTGTCGCCAACTAGAAATTTATTTTCTATTACTGTTCAGTTTTTAGTCTTTCATTTTTATATCTTTGCAAGTCGCTGACATGACTTAACCCTTGCTGCTATTAATTGGATGAAATGCAAAAGCCAATCTGTACAAATGTGCAGGCATGTATTAAACAGAGAGGATATTCAAATATAGACTCATTAAAAATCACTTGATCCTTATAACCAAATCCTGGATTGGTACTCGCCATGTAGGCATTGATAATGCCTGAGCATAAAGGATTCTGTCCATACTTAGGAAACTTAAGCAACAGCAACAAATATCTTTGTGTGCTGAAAAGTGGATTATAATTATCAATAAGTAAATTCAGCCACACACTTGTGATTTTCAACCATAAATAATCTACTACGCATGCAGGCTTACACGTTAGGATGCCATATATATGTCAACACATACATATGTGACAATGAGTCAGAAATCAGGATGTTTGGCAGCGGCGACGGCGCCTTGTCCAACGCTTCTGTGCCGCCGTCTGCGTCAGTCTGCAGAATGCTCTGCGCAGTGGTCACAAGTGCGCACTGGCGAGAGCATATAAAAGGATAACCGCGTACACGGCTGGCATTTAGTTCGCAAGGAATCATGCCGCAGGACACAGCAGTTCATTGTGCGCCGCCTAAATGAAATATCAGTGAATGCCGCTCACAAGCGCAATAGATAACAAAAAATAAAACGCGCAAACTTCCGTTGAGCAGCTAACATTTGGAAATTGATTTTTAAAAAATATTTCAAATGATTAATGCACATGTTTAATTTCGAAATATATATTACAAAATAATATACGACAGTGTTTTTGGGAATTCGGTAAGTTTAAGATAAGGTGTTAAAACATAGACAAAAGTCTGAAAGACCAAGTATCTGCTATTTAATACATTTATAATATAAATTTGAATGTATTTTAAAATCATTCTTAAGTTAAGATATACAAGCCGCAGCCTACATAGTTTTTATTTACTTATACCACTTACTTGTCGTCTCTAGTGATCTCCCAATAAAACTTTAAGGCGGCTTTCAAATGGCAGACGTGTTATAGTTATTGAAAGTTATTATAATATCAATATATTATATCGTTTTCGAAAATGCTTCCATTCAATTTGAAAGGTGCTTAAGGGTGCTTTCTCCTTAATGGGAAAGGGGGAAAAGTTTCGGATTCAAATTCATTTTCAAGGATCCTCATGAAAATTCATTTTAAGCGTGTTTTACACATCACGACAAATAGTTTTTTATATATAGAGATTTGTCAAATAAATAATTGATAGGGAGCTACGAAGCAGAAATATTTACTTAAGCTTCCCTTTGGGTCAAAAGACCCTATCTCCACCATATAGAAAAAGAAGCGATTGTTTGCGTTTCATTCGTTTGATCAAGAATAAAATTTTTAGGAATTTAAAGGGCCATCTTTTTGTGCCAACCAAAAGACTGACCTATTGATGATCAGCGCGGGAAAATGAGTGGATTGTGTAAGAATATACAGTACCCGGGGCAGTACCCACTAGTATTAAATAAAGGATTCTGCAAGCACAACATCAATAAAAATAATACCCATTTCATGCATAATGCTACCTATTTTATGACATGGTCGGTAAATTTTAGTCGTGTTACATCCACCGTTTTTGTGTCACAAAAGGCAATTTGGCTCTCGCACATCTCTACACCTAACCCCACGGGTGAAATGCATTCTCAATCGTGAAGTCGAAGAGACAGACACGCAACGATTGCGCTGAAGTATATACAGGAATAAGTTGACGATTGCGATGTGGTGATGGTCAAACAGGTTCCTGACTGTGTGGCTACTTCTCTGTTGCTCTGCTCTTTAATGGGTTTTTAACAAGTTTGCTTTAGCAGAACTTGTGCGCTGATGATATCTTATTTGTTTTAGGCTCCTAATTGCGCTCATCTCATAATATATATATACGGAATTTAGCAGGAATGCGTCATCGACCACCCAAGTTATTCTACTGTCTGGTTGGCACATGATTATCAATGCCAAGATATAAGGGTAGATTTAATTTTTACACAGCTGAAAATGGTTTTTCAATCATTTTATATGGATGTTACTTTGTTGACATGGTGATAGTATGGGGTTAAAAGAGATCGGAAGCAGAGGCATAGTGTTTAGGGGTCAATCCGAGATATGGGATATTAATAACGTCTCGCAAAGTTCGCTTCGTTAAAAAAAAAAAAAACAAACAAACAAGTGAGATGGACTAGTTGGGAGCACCCGACTAGGGGATGCCCTGAACCCTTTTCTACCCACAACAAATGCTGCTGGCGGTCGTTTGTTTTAGCATTAATAAAAATAATTTGTAGGGGGCTCGAGCTCGCAACTGACCGTACTACTTGCTATCGCCTCTACTCAACAGCCACACTATAGGCCTTATAGAGTAAAAAACAAATTAAAATAGGAGCACAAAAAACAATACAATCGCAATTGCAATGCTGTTGATAGCATTCAAAGAAGACGCGCATGAATGTGTGTGACGGTTTTTTAACAACTTCTGGGTTTCTTAACCGATCTAGATGAAATTTCCTACAAAAGGTCTCATTGTGCTATAGAATATTTGATACTTGATATATATATATAAACTATTCTAGAAGCTACATGTGAAGTTTGTTGACTCTAGCTCTTATTATTTACCAGAATTATGGGGTCGGAGATGCTTCCTACTGCCTGTTACATACATTTGCACAAACACATTATACCCTTTTTACTCATTTTCACTGGGCTCAGGGTATAAAAACAGTGGCCCGGTCAAAGCTAAATATATTCGCTAATTATGAATCTCATATGCACTTCTGTTCCGTGAACGTACATCAAAATAAGGTCCAGGATTTAAACTATGGATCCGAAACCTTCACATAACGTTAGCTTCCTGTTTCATAAAACAGAAACATATTTTTTGAAACTTCATCTGAAATATTCTGTGGTGAAGTGAGTCAGTATTCTGCCAACATCCTGCAGTCGTCTCGCCATCGTCGTCGCAAGACCCTGCGTTCACGACCTGTTATTATCGTAATGACAGCAGCCTATTTGCTTTTATGTTTTCAAGTCGTCCAAACCCAAGACAATTATCTCTGCTGGAGCTGGCCATCAGGCTGTCCGATGTTTCTTTGATCTCTTTTGGTCACTAAGCGTCTGTGTGGGTATGTATGCATGTACATATGTATGTGTGCGTCCTTAAAGGGGCGCCACTGGTCCGGCAGACCGGAACGCAGTGACTGCAACTGATATGGCTATTTATCAGTTTTTGTTGAATTCTTCGCTCAGCTCTCCTGAGTACGCAATTCTTAAAACTAAATTATATTATCGGCAAATTGTTTGATTTTTTTATTTTATAAATAAAGATGTATTCTTCTTTAGCTTATAAGGATCTGTTTTATGGAAAATCCTCACAAAACGTTATACTATTATTAGATATAATACATACTAGTTTTAAATCATTTAAGTTAATTTACAAATGCATACATCTCTACATATATATATTTATTTTAAATATTGTGTTCAAGTTATTGAATTACCCAGTAAAATTCCAAAACACGCGACTTAAAATTGCGCACAGCCAACTTAACGTGAGTCACAAATTGCGTGCGGCCAACTTCAAGTGGCTTAAAAGTGCGGAGCGTTATGCTTCTGTATTAGTACAACGGGTGTAGCTGTGTGCGAGAGTGAGCAGTGGCAAATTCACCACACATCCGACAGATACAAAAACACACATATGCATACTCTCTCAAAACGCAAGAAACTTTCGTAGCGAACGGACGTGGTTTTTCGGTTTCTACACGAACATTTTTTGTTGTGAACGCGGGCGTTACCAACAAATAAATGCAATAAACGTAGACAAACGACAATTGTTTTCACGGCGTCCGCGTTTCCATGCTGTTTTGACATTTCGTTTTATAAATATTTCTTAGTTTTTATAATCGAGTATTGTACAAGTAAAAAGTGATGTGAAATATTATGCGTTTAGTGACAAACAAACGCAATTTCGCCGCCGTCAACGTTCATAAATGTAAGCCGAAGCGAGAATAAAATGATGTGGAATAACGGCACCCGAAAAGTCCGATATACAAATATTAACGATAAACAAAAATATAGGTGTACGCAACATGATTGCAGCATTGAAAAATGGCTATAACGGAACTAACCGAACGTAAAACGTAACGAAGATTGATCAATGCTACTTGCAAGCGATAATACGTCTTATATACACGTACATATGTATGCGTATATGTATATATATGTGTATATGTGTATTGTATGCAAAAACATACAAGAAATATCATATCATATTTTACGACTTTTGTACATTTCGACTAAAATATTTTGATTTTATCGTAATTTAAAAGTTTACCAACACTTGGCACTTTACTTCCTTTACGTGAGGATATGCCTTTGTCTTCGCTTTGATTTTTTTTTTCGTCTATTTTCATTTAGTTTCTATGCTTGATTTTCTTTGCGTTGTTGATTTCAGTGGTTATGTCATTGGGTGAATTTTTTTATTTCTTTTACTTCTGTTTATGCGTATCTGATTGTGTTAAATAATAGTAGGATATGTTGCGTGTGTTCTTTCCAAAGGCGGGTCTGGAAATTATTGAATCACTTTTGTAATTTGTGCATAAATGATATGTGGGCAAAATAAAATACAGAGTATTGCGCAGTCGCCTTCAAGTTCTCAAAAGTTTTTGCGACCAAACGACAAATAACATTTTCCGATTTATTAAAATTTTAACAAATAAATAGGATCAGAATCAGAACTGCTTAAATATATGAACAGCAGACATTTGACATCCGAACTTAAATAAGCCTCTTCACTACAACAATTAATTTTAATTTTTATTTGTTTAGCAACGACAACTAACTTGGTCAAAATTTACCACGTACGAATTACATTTCTTCGTAAACACACACAATAATTTAAGTGTTTATTTATGGATATGAATATATTTCTTGTATGTATGTAAAGTTGTTGTAGGCTGAAAAATACAGCTGACTTGTGAAGAAAGATTGACGGTCGGTCAGTGCTAAACTAAACTAAAAATAATCAATTACCCTTTATGCCTCGTATTTTGACGCGTAACAGTTTCTGTGGATGTGAATCAAGCAAACCCCAAATGTTTGCCAATGAGTACGATATAATATTTCTTATCAATTCCAATATGAATCTTTAAATAATTGTGCTTGAACCCCGCGCATACATATCAGAAATTGCAATACACCAACATATCACAACATAAGATTGATCTATTTTACACAAAAAGGATAATAAGGATGTCATGGATGAACCCTACCAATAAAGTAAGTATGTTCATTATATTTGTTGCTATATTATTTGTATTGTTATATATAGTTTGTATACAATTACATTTTTGGACCGTTATATGAATATCATCTATGGGAAATGCATTCCTAAAAAGCATCGGTGCATATAGTCCGATCTCTATAATATTTTCAAACCATTACATGCAACATATAAGCGGAGCTCGACCTTTAAACATTAGTTTTACTTTTCCAAATTTGAGGGAATTAGGGATGGCATACAAAAAGGGAAATATTTAAAATCTGTATACAATGCGACAAAAAATGAAGAACAAAAATATCTATTTAAAAATAATACTCGTGATACTAGAGATGCACACAAAAAATACTGCTGAAACCAGGTGTGTTGAAATACATACATATGTGATGCATGTTTTTCTCGATGTACATTTCGTTACTTCCGAAAATTAAACAACATTAAACAGATCCCTCGTCTGACAAGCTGACACGATCAGACAGTTTATCCACGCAGTCTCATGATGTCACATGTTTTCATACAAAGCTCTACAACCGTTATCCTACTTGTAAAGTAACTGACAAACGAAGCAATACACAGCCTTGTGTTAAAATCCACACAGACTCAGCACCCACACAGATATATATGCATATAAATATGTGTGTATACCGTCTCGCCTCAATTGCAAACAAAAACTTCTGTTTTTAATTATAAATGAAAATATTTTGATTACCGACTTAACGGAGGTACGATCCGGCGTTTGGCCGGAACCTGACAAAGACGATTTTATCAGGTAAAAATTCGATGAAGCACAGTCGATGTTTCGCAAGAAATTAAATCGAAGAGTTGGAATAAAAGCGATGTTGAGATTATGCAATGAATGCAGGTCTCGCGATTAGGATTCTGAAATAATGACCCAGTTGATAAATCCGCGCGTGTTTAAAAAGCGCCCATCTCTAGTAATTCTGCACATAGAAAATATTTGGCGTATTTTACCGGCGTCACTAAACATTAATATTAGTGGCGCCAAAAGTGTCGCATGCATATACATTGTATTTACATACATATGTAGGTGCATTTGAAAGTATGGTGACACACATACATACATACGTACATATGCTGACGACGGTAATCTTTTGTATGTACGTACTTGCATACGCATTTTCCATGAGCCCACCCGGACTTTTATTTTGGGCGCAATCTTTTTGGCAATATAAGCGAATATCCTTGTTCCAAATTGTATATGCGGTTGTTATCACAGTTTCGTTTATGTATGTATGTATGTGTGTATGTATGTACTTGTTGAATTTTCAAAAGAATTCGGAAATGTGTTGTTTTTCAGCCACTGACACACACTCGCATGCGCGCTTACACACACACACATACACACGCGCGCACACACACACACACAAGACAACACACTCCGACACGATGCTCTCTTGTGCACTTGCTTTTGCGCTCTCGCTCTTTTTAATTCACCTCAAATTGTTGATTCTTCAACTTGTCAAACCGGCTGACAAACCGACTGAACGAGCGACCAACCGACCGTCGGTCTATCGTATCGTTGTTGTATTGTTGTTGCTGGCGCTGTCGTTGTTCGTGTCTGTCTGATATAAGTTTATATTGGTGGCGCCATTGCGACGACGCCGCCGCCGACATCGTTACTATTATTTCTTTTATTACGTTTACGTCAGTGGCGCCCACTGTGGCGCCTGTGCCTCATTGCGTCTCGTCTCATCGCGTTGTTGCCCTGACTTTGCCTCTAGCTGGCACGCAAGCAAGTATATTCAATACGTGTGTTTGTGTGCGTGCGTGTGTGTGTGTGTGTGTATGTATGTATACAACGTACATTTGTACATGCATGCATACGTACATATACATTTGTATGTTCGTCTGAGCGTGTAGTCGTGCCGTCATGTTGGCGGCGCCACTGTTGCCGTCGCGATAAGGAGCGCAAGAAATGCCAGCGAGCAGCCAGCAACAAAATGGTCGTAGGGGCCACAGTTTTGTATTTGGGTTGTTAACTTGCAGCGGCCTTTGTCAGCGTTAGCGGTAGTCGGTGATGCTGCGCTGTCGGAGTCCGCTGTTCTGATGGGCGCATTACTCATGCGCCTTGATTCTCAACTTGTGCGTTGCGTTTGAGCTTTTTAAAGCTTTGATAAGAACTACACACATACATATAATATACATATATGCATACATATGTACATATAAATAAGTCTGTCCATAGGCGTGTGTGTGTATTACAGAATAGGTTCGGTGCATCTGCCCATGGAGCATACATACAAATGTATGTATGTATATGTACAAACATGTAAACTGCAGTCAAACAAGCGGTAAACCGAATTTTTTGTTCGTTTTATTTTGTTTATATGTATTTTTTAATATATAAAACTGTTTTCTGTGTACTCTTTGTCTGACTGAATGACTGACTGACTGATTGGCTGACTGACTAATTTGTAAGAGCTGGAAACTGAAATTTTCACTAAAGTTACCTTATGTGATGAAGGTGAACGTTAAGACGGGACTTCGGAAAATTTCACCAGCAAGTGTGGAAAAACGCGAAAAACGTTTGTATAAAACTTTGTTGTCTACCATTCGATCGGCCTCAAACAAATGTTTAAATATCTTTGTCAAAATAAATCTAATGGATGTTTTGTGCTCAAATTAATTTCCAAAGATCTACATAAAAAATCATTTGAGACATTTCTTGGAAAGTGAATTTCAAAGATTTGTTTGGAGAAGTTTTAAGTTTTGTTCGATTTGCTTCACACTTATTTACAGAGTTCTAATTGGCGGAAAGCGTTGGTATGAAAGTTCTTTGTTTACCGTCCGATCAGTTTTAATATCACAAAATAGTAAAAATAGTTGGGTTCAAATGTATTTATGTACATAAGACATACATTTATACATTAATACAAAGCGGATCTTCCCGGCTTTGTGCGAGACGTATTTAAATCCCAAACTGATGATGGGCGCGGGCCACATTTAATGATTTTGTGCCAATGCACATATGTGATAGGTGGAAGCATTTCTGACCATAAAATGTATATATTCATCAATCCCAGATCTTATACGAACCAGGAATTATCGCCCCTTATCCTACTTACGTGCACAACAGATTGCGCTATGCAAAAATTACAATAGTTTGTATCACGTTTTCTCTGTCGAAGTTTCTCTACCCCTAATTAAATCGTTGCTTTCGGGATACCTTCGAGAACTCACCGACCATTTCCAGCTATGAGTAGGGGCATAGCTTGCCGGACAGGTTATAGAATCCACACCGGGTCGATAATTTCCTATCACCATTTTCTTAAACTATTTACTTAACACTCCGTATATCTACTATAAATTTCCTTACCTTGTTAATAACTTCATTCTTTCTTGTTTCCTTAATGATATAGTAAATACGAAACATCTCCATCGGTGTGAAGCTATTAGAAAATTGTATTTCTAATTATTCTTTTTTTAATTTTTATAATTTGATGTATTAAATAGTAGTGAAGAAACTCGAAAAACTAAAACAGGATAAAATAAATAAATAAATACGAGCTAGAGTCGTAAAATTTGTAACGTAGTATGTATTGTTTTAAATCAGCGATAACTTACCCTGTTTATTTGACATTGATAAGCATTTTTTTTAGAGTCAACTATATTTTGGGCACCGCCTTGCCGTTCCGCAAAATCAACTCAATAATTGCCATTACATTTAGGATGTAGCCTCTTTGCAACTAAACAAATATGCTATACAATAAAATCTACTGTAGAATTCTATCAAGATCGGTTAAGCACAGAAATTATTTAAGAACACTTGTGGTCATATAAGTAAACCACGTGGCAGATAACGCAAAGCTTAGGCACTTTCTGTGTACGTGTGTACACAAACATTCATAAACCCGCGATCTTTTAATAATTTTATTAATAGAATTTGCAATTGCTATATTATATGTATATGGATGCCGCTAATTAGTTCAGTAAATTATACCATGATGATAGTGTGTAGATCGAGGGCAAGTAGTTGATGGTTGATGGGGCCTAGCTAGGACCCCAATCAATAAATATTTGGATTTTTAATTTTTTTGAATAATGTTATATCCCTTAGCCACGAAATAGCGAAAGTTGTTGCTGGTTGCAGTTTACGAGTGTCTAAATATGCACCAATTTATGAAGAAAACTAATAATTTCAAAGTACATCCGGTGCCCATATGTACCCTGAACCCATTGAAAACAGGTATAAAAGGTATAATGGCTTTTATGCACGTGCATGTAAAAGGTATAAGGAGGCATCTCCTCGTCATGAACTATATACATATATAGGTTGATCTAGCCATATCTGTCTGTCCGACTATTTGATCGCGTCGTTTTCGGAAATCTACTGAAGCTAGAGAAATTTAAAAATCTCCTATTTCCATAATATTGATTTTAAGTTATGACTTTGAAATATTTAATAGCTATTTAACCCAAGCTTGGTGTCTAGGTTTTCATTCACAGATTGGAAATGTTTCACTTTTGTATATTCTAAATCGATAACTTGCCTTGTTTACACGAAATCAATAAGAATTGATTTTCAGCTTGAAGCCTGAAAAAAACTATGTTTACGTCTGTCAGAAATGAAGTACTTTCTTTATACCTTCGCATATTCCATTAAAAATTACAAAGATTCAATAAAGCCTGGAGTTTTGGTAGCTGCATCCATTTGCAATGCAGGCCCCGAACAATAAATAAATATTGGACTACAAACAACGAAGTAATTTTAGAATAAAACATATGTATGTTTGACTTTATGGGCTCCTGCGTATATAAAGTTCGCAAAGGATCATCTTTATAGAGGAAACTATAAATCCGAGATTTATTCATGTATATAGACGGATACAAGTAGACTAACTTAGTCCTTCGATCTGATTAAAATTATACACTGACCATACAGCATATGTTTATGTATATAGAAATAATGAATTTGTTCTTCTCTTTTTTTGCAGAGTTCATATCAAAGCAATTGAATCAAGGTCATATCACGGCTTAAAGCCTTATAAGCGAAACAGAGGAACTAGAGACTACAGTGATACCCTAGTCAACGTCTAATAAATATATGTATATACATTCATGTACATATATGTTTGTACTAACTCTATAGTTACTCTAATTAGAAACAAGTAACAGTAACATAAACCACTCCTAACCCACCGTACATATCACAAACCAATCCAAACCTCCACTAGCCGGGCCTTATGAGTGCGTTCTAATAAAGTTGATTAACTTAAATAATGCACATTCGATAAGATCGATGTTACCAAAAAAATTGATGTCTCTCCATGATATTCCCAAGCGAAAAGAAAAAAGAACTATGGCGTTATGCGTCAAGAAACAATCCGGCTACGTGCGATGCGGATGGGACACCGATACCCACGCAGCAACTACAGCCGCTTCACCCTCCACATCAACGCCACCTTCAAACATGCGCCAGCTGCTGCTGCTGTGCGGATCAGTCTTCGGTGATGCGGCAGCTGAACAGCCCCCCGCCACCATACTGTTCAATACCCTGCTCCATAGACTGCTCAGGCTCTTATCATCTCATCCACTGTCACCAGCAGCCAACACTGGACCAGCAGCCACCTTCGTACCGCACAGATGGGGAAGCAGACATGTCCGTGTCCGCCTCGGCGACAGAGGAATCGGACTATTCCTTTATCAAAGATGGATGCAGCTACGCAAGCTCTGGCGAAGACATGTTGAGCGACGAAAACGGACCTTGTGGGGTGCTGGTGCCTCCGTGTTCCAATGCACACCCATCGACTCCCGCGGCGACCTTTGCGACGACAGCGGCGAATATGTTTCGCAACTGCTGCGGGGGCGGCGACGCGACAGAATCGAGCACTGGATTCTTTTCGAAAACGACCCCGCCCGACAACAGATGCCACATCCTGAGCCGTCAGTACACATCCACTCCCACCTGCCCAATGCTACCCCACTCACCAGCGTTGTCCACAGGTGGAGCAGTAATGACTGCAACTTTTCGCCACCGTACACCGAATCAGATCTTCAATGCGCTGCTGAAAAAGCTGAAGAACAAGCAGATAGCCGAGCTACTCCAGGCAGTAAAAAGCCGCGTAGATCCGCCTCACAAGCGCGACTCGCTTGCGGCAAACCGGGCTCTCATATCCACCTGTCCGAGCTATTTGCAGTGCATTCTGATCAAGTGCACTTCGCCCATGGACGAGCTGCAGCACGTAACCACGTGCCAGCTTTTTTTTTGGTCCGACCTCAGGGATGCCAAAGAGCTAAGGCGCCTGCCCACTTGCCCCAGTGCGCTGGATTCCGTCTACATCTGCTGCAACCCACTGCACTGGTATCGCATACACCCTCCAATCGATACAGGTAAGTCATGTTGGAAAATGCTACATGTATATTTAATTTATAAATCCTATTTTGATAGCTAGACAAGAACTATTAAATAAAGTTCTATATCGCAAACATTATTATCTTTAAAAACCTGTTTCTTTCGTGTCGTGTTAAAAGACTTAGAACGAGCCTACCATTTTTTAATAGATTTTCGCATTTAAATAATTACGATTGTAGGACCTAGTTTTTTAAGTGTAACTAGGACATAAGAAGAGCTTAATACCAAATATGATTTGTAGACTCGTTATAGTAAATTTCATTTCATTTTGGGATGCCTCTCATTAGAAGCGGACAATAAAAAATTTGCAAAGTATGTGGGTGGATTACGATGCGATGTGCTGCGATAAGCGCTAAAGAAGTTTGCCCAAAGATAATATAAATACGTGAATACCTATTAATATTGGTTACATCTATATGCATAAACTGGCGGGTATTGCCTGGCCTTGTCCATGACACATTTTGTACTAACAATTTTAGATATTATATTTCAACTAAGTACAAATAAGTTCAAATAATGATCTTTGAAATGGGTTTGAAACCGATAAACTTCAGCTTCCCAGCTCTAACTGTATGGGCTATGCGTTGTCAGTCAATCAATCTTTGTCCTGACTGACTGACTGATTGGTAATCAATGCACAGCCCAAACTGACTAGAAGATATGTACTTATTATCCTCAGAGATTTATGTTCTTCTAAAGATTTAACATCTTCATGAAATGAGTGATTTTTGAAAAGTATGAAGTCACTTTCAATTTCATGATCAGTTGATGATCTGAATTGATCTCAACACCAGAGAATATTATAACTAAATATCTATAGTTTGTTAAGTTGGATTTCTACTCAATCACGATAAATTAGATCTGATTTGTATTTGCCTTATTTTAATTACTTGTGCTTAATGTGTATAACCTTATCAGATTCGTAGAGTTTACATATACATGCATTTTATGCTGTGTAACATAAGCAGGCAATTACTATAAAAACTAAATGCTGTTCGTTTTTTGGTAACAACCATTGTGCTTCCTTGCCTTTAAAGTGCATGTTAAAAAAAAATAAGTAACGAGTATCTCCCTGATACACGCTGGTAAGGTAAACATGCCTTTGGAAGTATTAAAGCATGGTTCGTGCCGCGTTTACCTGCTCGCAGCCGCAGCCGCGCGGCATCAGCATCTCTCGTTTGGGGTCTGTTGTCGGTGAATCAACTTCCCGATACTGACTGGGACAGGTTTCTTTTCTTTTTTTTTTTTTCAATGATGGCGCCGAGCCCGTTGAACAAGACGCTAATGTAGTTCCTTCCACATGGGCCAAGGGAGAACAGTTCCTGGAATTGTAGCGAAAGCGCTGCAGCTCCAAAGATCGGGACATATTAAAGAATTTGAGTATGTATGTATATGTATCTGCTGCTTATCTACAAAAAATAGAATGTCCGTTCGCTAGAGTTCCAAAAAGAAAAAACATTTTTGCAGCAGTTCTCACTCTCTTAATAAACCATGTACAAATGCTTAATGCTTTTAAATGATTGACTGGAGATACTCAGTAGAAACATTGTCATTCCCTTTGCAAACCGAAAATCAAATTGTATATTTAAATATGTTCTGGAGACTAGTTAACATATAGTCAAGATATCTAGATTAGAGCATTCTTGTTTGATTCTTATAACATTTTTTATTTGTGGAAACAATCCAATCAATCAAACCAATGTCGATGGCGGCGAGGCAAGCAAAAATCACTTGATTTTTTAGACAGCCAGACACGCCACGCCACGCCACGCCGCTTCTTTGGGGCGATTAAGGCAATGTTGGAATTTTACTGCTCCCTTTGCCTTCGCCTTCGCCTTGGCTTGGCGTTTTCATTGGGAATCGTTCGTAGAATCGTTCGTTTACGCGGCGGAGGCGGCGTGGCGGCAGCAGCGGCATCAGCGGCCAAACGTAATCAGGTTTAACTGGTACCCGGGCTAACTAAGTCGACGGCGCCGTTGCCGCTTCTAGCACTGCTGACGTCTGCAGCGCCAGCTTCCTCCGCTCCCAGCGGCGAACGCCGCACATCAAACGATTTGTGCGCCAATAAAATGTCCCCCAGTGCTGCTGGCTGATATGCAAACATTATTTATTTTATTTATTTATTTTTATTTAGCCGCGCTGATGTTTGGCCTGGCCTGGCTCAAGTTTGTTGCTGTGTTTATACCCACAAAATGGGGAAATTGGGTATATATACTTGTGCAGTTGTGTCTGATCGATGCATCAATAGTTGATCCAATAAAGTCCGATCCGTCTGGTTGGACTGGCCAGCCGTATGTGTATGCACACTTATGTCACATTTCAGTCATAATATATGTACTATTGTTCCAATTATTTATCTTTGGAAGCATATTTATGTGTGAGTACAGGGTATCTCTTAGTAGAGCCCTCTCGTACACTTCTACTTGTTTTCTTTTCAGATTTTGTTGTTTTTGTTTCTGTTTCGGGTTGGCTTTGCTTTGGTTTTTGTAGTATGTACGTGCACGTGTATGTATGTATGTATGTGCATGTATTCTCGAATACTAATATTGTACTATTTCTGTGAAGCATGATCTCATCGCACAGCTTGTCTTAAACACGCGCATTTCAACCCGTAGTCTTGGTTAGCTCTCCAAACTATTTACATTTAATAGACCATGATCTTTATTTATTGAGCCTTAACTGTTCAATAAGGACACTACACTTAGGTATTTGGGATTGAAGATAGTAGGCCGGATAGAACCACAATATTATGTTATTGTAAAAGATTCTTAATTGCCATCATGATATATTAAACTGTGCCCTTACAAGAATATCTTGACGAAGATTAATAAGCCGGAAATTTTGTATGCAAGCACTACTAAGGACATATCGTCGCCATACCAATGACAGTCGATCTGAGTTCTCCATGGTTGCTCTTACCGCTGCATTCCCGACTGGACCAGTCCAAGTTGTTAAGTTGAAATTGCAATGCAAAACGCGGGCGAAGGGGGCCTCGGTGTCTCTCGCTGTCATAAAAAAAAAACGTGATTTTTGTGACATGTCTTGGGATTGTACCCTGTAGCGCCCATTGGGTTAGTACTAATAGAAATTTCTGGAAACCTGTTATAAAACAGCTTCTTTTGCCTGTCCAACTTTTGACATTTGAGTTTGAAACATGTTGATGCCGTCAAAATAAAGTAGTTGCGGCACATGCTATTTGATTAATTGATGCATTTAATACCCATTATGAAAAATATATGGTTTTTAAAGATATGCTTTCGATAATGCTAAAGTTATCCTCAAAATGGCAGGCAATGCTTGCAACGTACGATTATAGTTATAAACCATTGCAAATAATTGTATATATACCTGTCTTTATGTATGAACCAGTCGATCTCAAAGGCAATTTAGACTAGAGATCTAAAATGTTGAGCATAGCTTCACCCGACTAGATCAATCTTACAATCTTGTGCTACGAAATCTCTGAGATCGACACCCTTATACAAACGAATAGAACATTCATCGGTCTTATAGAGTGCTTAGTTAGTGCTTAAATTTATTTAAAGATACAGTAGAAATACATGACATATTTACTTTCTTTTAACATATTCCATTTTAAAAAAAAATGGTAATGCATTCGTTTGTAAGTTTGAAAAGCAATATATTTAATGGTTGTTATTATTAATCAATTTACTACTGCGCAGACGCAGAAGCATTTTAGAAAAGAAGACTCAAAGAAGATGTCGGGCAAACGATTTAAGCACCTGAGACTAAGAATGCACAAAAAATGACTGGATGCACTTGGGGATATTTCTTAAAAGAAAATTCAAAAAATTAATTGACAAACATACAATAAAAAATATTAATAAATAAATGCATGTCTTTTGATATCGATAATATTAATATATCGTACTATGTAAGAAATGGGTGCAGTATTCGGTTCTCTAGTCCCTGTATAAGAACGATAAAAAGACCTTTTGTTGTTGTTAACTGTAGCTTCTGTTTGAATATATCCCAAGTTATACTGAGTTGCCAGATAAGGCTGCTTGAAACTATTTTGGGAAAAGCTGTATGGTTATTTGTACCAATTTTGACTTTATCCCTATATTTTTTGTGTAATTCGCTACAATTTCAAAAATATACCATACCGCTCGAAAAAGAAGCTATGCATTTGCCATACTCCAATCACAATCAACTAAGTAAATGCTAGATAGGAAATGCATTGCTGCTCTCGTTCCTAATATTAAATTTCTATTTTATAATTGACCCGTCTCAATTGAACAACGCTTCTTATTGAATCTTTTCAAACAATCATATTTTTAAAGTATCAGTCCAAAAACCTAATTCTCCTTATGACATTTATGTTATTTGATTTCCCACTTATTTTCCATTTGTGTTGCTTTAAATTTATTCTTATTGTTACTCTGTGAATAACTACATAATAAAAAATAATATATATATATTGACATTAACTGGTGGATTTTAACCAATGTCCTCCCCCTAGTAGCCCGACGCTAAGTCACCTAAGACACACAAAATCATATGACTATGTTGTTTTTGATGCTTACAATAAAAGCAACGATCCAAAAGGAAGCTTCACTAGTCGTTCAGTCAGTAAGGATATATAGATTAAGATAAAGATATAGATATAGATATAGATATAGATATAGATATAGATATAGATATAGATATAGATATAGATATAGATATAGATATAGATATAGATATAGATATAGATATAGATATAGATATAGATATAGATATAGATATAGATATAGATATAGATATAGATATAGATATAGATATAGATATAGATATAGATATAGATATAGATATAGATATAGATATAGATATAGATATAGATATAGATATAGATATAGATATAGATATAGATATAGATATAGATATAGATATAGATATAGATATAGATATAGACGCTCAAATTTTTTATATAGAAACCGACAATAAACGCAGAAAGAAATCGCGAAACCTCTTTCCACAGTGTGAGTCTTAAGGTAAATGAAGAAAAGTAATGGTATTTTGGCGATAGGTTCAGGATACCTGCTAGTCGTAGTATAGACTATTCTTACTTGTTGAACATCGAACTTAAATATATGTAAATGGGCTATGAAATACATATGTATGTCAAAATAAATAAACATAACATGCGTGTATATCTCGCAGAATATTAAAAACTTGGTTTCCTTTTGCACTTTCAGAATCCGCACTCCCGCCGTATCATCGATCAAAAATGTTGAGACTAAGAGATAAAGGTATGTAAATGGTTTTCTGTCTAGGGTACTGAACTGATCAGAGTTCCACAATCCTAGATACTGAGGAAAGCTCTCAAAACAACGAAAGGCTGTCAGTGGCAGCGTGGGGCATGCAGGGCAACAATAACATCAAGCAAATGGAATCGCAGTTGTATGTCCCGAGAATCGAGTCTTTTACCACAGATGGAAAAGGTGAGTTTGTAGCCATGCCGCAGTCGGAACGTGGCCTCTTCTGGCTCTTTTCCTTATCTTTGGAGCGGCTTTATTAAGCATTCAGCGATATAGCAAGCACCTCTCTTTCTCTAGGTGCTCAGTTTTATATGTATGTATGTGCATTGAAAACGTATGTGTGTGTGTGTATACACATGCATATATACATATATTTGTTTTTATATACAATGTGTGTATACATGTTTATGCATGTGTGAAGAGAATGTGTGAGAGCTACGGCAGCGGTCGCGTGCGTGTGTTTGAGCACGCCGGCACGGGCCGAGCCAGGCAGTCAAGTTGTTCGTGGCGCCAGTTTGCCGCGTCAGGTCGTCACTTTCTATATTGATATTAACTTTTAAACGAAAACAGCAAAAACAACACGAATATAAATAATGAGCGCAAAACAAATACAAATAGTGCGAGGCGAATGCGAATGTGTGTGGCGGCAGTGACGACGTCGGCGTCGCCGTCAGCGTTGACTTCGAGAGCGATGGCAGCAGCAGAAATCTTGGTCGCTTGCTTACGAGAGCTTTGTGGAGCAGCGCGGGTTGCGGGAGTGTCAGTGGCTTGGCTATGGCTGGTTATCGCCACCACCAGCTGCACGGCGGAAGGGTGATCGGAGGTAGTGGCGTTATGACAATGATATCATTCATGGCGCTGCCGCTAACGCCTTCGTGGAACTGGACAGTTTCTTTTTCACTCTTTTTCTATACTCGGTTTAAATGGGTGAATAGTTATATGAAAATGTATGTAACAGACAGAAGGGTGCATCTTGGTGCCCATAAGGTATGTACATATATATATACATACATATGTAATTATATTGTTAATCAGGAAGCCGAGCTGAGTCGGTCTACCCAAGTCCATCTGTATGAGCGTATAGAACTCGGAAGAAAAACCAATCGGCTAAGAATTTTAAAAATATGTACATATATGTATGTATATGTACGTATAATGAATTCTCGTATATTTCGCAGAACGAGTTTATTATTTTAGTCGATATCTCGCAATTTGAAAGCCAGAGCCTTGTCCTTTGATATTGACACGCATTTCGCTACCATATCTATCGCCTGAAAATTTCACAAGTTTATATACATCTTGAATGTTTGACACAGGGAAACTACCGGCTAGAGCAATTCCTTGTTAAGGGAAAAAAGTTGCCGAAAAGAATTTCCGGCAAATGATCCGATCCGACAATCAGTCGCAAAGTGAGTTCTTGCATGAAACTATTTTGTGGTTTTCAAGAGCTCCATTATTACGAGCTTCACAATTCGCCACAATTCTCATAACTGAAAATCAATAAACCATATGTCTGAAAGAGTATTTAATGTTCAACGAGTCAGTATTTTTAGTTCTAAAAATATTTAGGAATTCAGATGTTCGTAAATATTTGTGGACATATTTATGTATGACCTATACTGCATGCGTTATTAGAACGGTGCGGAAAATTATAACATCGTAATCTGTGTTGTTTTTATTATACAATTGTTTAGAAATTATATGGATAGATTTATTGGTCCTTATACATACATACTTATGTAAGTATGGATGCATTTACAACTGTATTTACAATTAAGATTGTTCTAGTTGGGAGTGCCCGTTTAGGAGATTCGTACACATACACACACACACTTCCATTTATGTAGCGCCTCGTCTTGTCTTACACTATGCGAAATTTATTCTACAATAGCTTTGGTATTTAGAATTCGCGTCTTTTTGTAAACATATGTAATCATTATACACTCCACAGACTCTATAAAGTATCATGTATGTCGCCTTTATGAGTATCTAGCTTTTGTACTTTCGATCAGACAAGTCGCGTTCTGCCTATTACATTCATTTGCTCGAAAGCATTATTAACTTTTATCCCATTTTCAAAGAGTTTCAAAGTATATATACCTTATAGATGCGTATGGTAAGGCAAATATGTGCCCGTGATTATTTATGTACATGTTTAACATGTATTTACTTACAATACCGACATGTGTGGTCACTAACCAATTTACACTGCGCGCACACACACACACACACACACACACACACACATAGATAGATTTTAAAACATTCTAAATTTAAAGATGATGTAGTAGCTCGTCGATGCGCACTTCTGTTTGTAATTATGTATTTATGTGTAGCTACGTGAATGTACATATGTACATACCGACGCATGCAGATCGACTGAAAAATACAAAACAACGCCTAGCCGGCGCTATGAATCCCAAAGAGTCAAATACGAGATCCCGAAAATACCGCTCCTCGATGGCGGTTGCCCGAGCAGGCGGCATCGGCGCCAGAGCCGATGGCAGCGCCCCACCGAGTCCGTGCACTCCCGTCTCGCCATCATAGCTGAGTTGCAAAAGCTATACAGCGTATGCCGTACATTACATTTGATTATTTGTACACAACATACACACTTTAGTATGCACATTAATAGCATTGTATAGAACAGTGTGCATATCTACTTATTCAGATACATACATATGTACAAATGTGCAGCTGCACGCATGCATCTTTATAGAAGACAGTGTACTCGTGTATTATTGACTAATTATTCTATTATTCTCGTTTATTGTCATTTGATTTCATATCAAATCATGGGAAAAAGAAAGAAAGGCCTCCTTCGGCATGCCGAAGATAAAACACTCTTCAGGTTGTTTTGATACAGACTAATATGTGAGGAGCATGGTGAAACTATAAAATGTCAAGTTAGGTCAAGATATCTTGATTAATACAAACAAGTTTTTACCTACTTCAACCCAACCGATCATTCCCATAACATATACTTATGTCGTTTGATTCGACGACTTCCGATATTTGAACTGCTTGTAAAGAAAGACGGACCTAGGCTTAGTTTCTTGACAGGGTGTGTTTGGTTCAGATACATAAATAATCTTATTTCTTTTAATGCCTTGAATCTATTGATCCCATGGATAAAAAGAGTATATTGGTTTTGTGCAAATGTATTCAATAGCCAGAAGGAAGTTTCTTCAATTCCAGAAGTTTTTTTTTTTTTTTGCAAGGCACAATTAATAAGATTGTTTCCACTCCACTTGTTTTCCAACCCGCACTATCTTAAAGATTATTATATCCAAAGGTATTTTTTACCTATATAGCTATTTATTGCATTCGCACAGTTTCCGCTTAATCTTTGACATATCGAAGATAGTCGGTTCCTCGTGCTATACACCTGGTCATTCAAACGCTTGCCTTATGTCAGATTGTCGAATAAGTAAGAAATTGAAAACTATCGTGTTAATAGTTGGTAAACATAACATGCTTCTTTAGATGATAGACAGAAGTTAAAATGATATAATATATATAAATATTGCTTGAAAAATTGCAAGGTCTACACCAAATTAAACAAATACTAGTTTCAATACAGTTAATACAGCCTATTTAATATCTATTTTCTTTATTGAGCAATGCCTAGAATTTGGTCATAAATAAGAATACGCTATGCTCGTTGTGCTTTTAGCCAGCCGTATTATAGGCATCCGAAAGCCAAAAGGCATCGGCGGCACGTTTACGTAACGATGTGGCGCCAAAATTATTGCCATTAAAAGACTATATATATATATATATAACTGCATTGGTATTTGTGGATGAGATTGATCGAGTGATGAGATTGAGGCACGGTTGAATTCGAATCGTATACGAAAGCCTTTGCCGCTCGATTAGATCTGCATGCTCTCTGCATGATAAAATGTAAAAATTTACATTATCTTTTCAACCTTGTTCAAAAATTTGCCAAGTTGTATGAAACGCAATTAGATCGGATTGTTTGGTTTAGTTAAATATCACGTAAGAACAGGTTAGATCGGTGTGCTAGCGAAAAAAAGCCTTGCATCCACACATATATCAGATGTTTGGTATATTTGTCTACATCATTTATTTGTATTTGGAATATTACTTGTTCGTATAGAAATATGACAAAAGAACCGAGCTGTATCGACTCAGCTGTTGATGTAGCTCAAGAATATGCTCTATTGGTTCGGAGATGTCTCAAACTATTCGTTACAAACTTTATGACAAAATGATCATATCTCTACAAATGGTAAACAAACAACATTTTTACAACCGTTTTCCGGCAATTTAGCATACATAGTTGCAGGCGGAACTTTCAAAATCTTGTAAAATACCTATTATTTACGTTTTTATGTGATGCCTTACAAATTTAATCAAAAATTGGTCAAAAAACGCAACTCTGAAACACCACTCAAAGAAAATGAATCAACGAACTTTGACAATGAATTTAAGGTCGATTGGATGATAAACAAAAAATGTTCATACAATCCTTTTTTGTTCTTTATCCGCATCTTGCATCCTCTCTTAGCTTGCAGTTTTGGCTGTGATCACATGTCAGTGAGGTTTTGACGATTGTCGCTACAAACAAATTAAAACCAAATTTGGTTCAAAAAAAATTTTACTACAGCTTTGGCTACTTTGTTACGATAAATTGATTAAAGAGAGCTTGATGTACCAATAGGGCTTTTCTCTAGATAGAGAACTAACAAAAATTATTGTTCTATCAATTTTAGATCGGAACGCCACCAATTGGGTATGGTGTCAGATTGCCTATTGGGAACTGGCCCAGCGCGTTGGTGATCTGTTTCACGCCAGGAAGTCAGCAGTCAATATATACGCTGATGGACCAGTTGACTGCGCCGGAGAGAGCATGTGTTTGCGTGAACTGAGTGGGAAGAGGAGACCGCTGGATACTGTGCAAAGCACGCGTCAAAAGGTCGGTCTGGGTAAGTAACAATAGTGGGTAATTAACTAAATGTGCAAATATAACTTAAATTTTATGTTATAGGCTTAACTCTTAGTCTGGAGTATGGTGACGTGTGGATCTATAATCGCAGTAATGTGCCGTTATTCGTGGACTCGCCAACGCTGGCCGAACGCTTGGACCGGGTTTGCAAAGTGATGCCTGGCTATTGTCTCAAGGCCTTCGAAACACAAAAGTAAACTATTTTGGTAGATGCGTTCTTTAATACAGTCATTATTAACTCAAATCCTATTTAGCAGGGCTCAATGGCTGGCTGGAAAGCAGTCGCAACAGACCCATCTAGGGCCTATCGACCGATTTAGCATGAAGATCAGCTTTGCCAAGGGCTGGGGTAACATGTACAGGCGACAGGATGTTATGGGCTGCCCCTGCTGGCTTGAAGTTCACTTCAACCATCTGCGGTGACAGTTTCAGCTTCCGGTGGGCGCCAATTGCTTTACGGCAGCGGCAGCGCTATGTTTAACTGGGATGGTCTGCACGAATCCAATGTGCTGTAGGCCACATGTGCTCCACCGGTTGCGACAGCTCCTTCAAATAGTTCAAAAACGGATTTCGGGACTAGGCAGTAAAGCAAGTATACTGAGACTACAAGCAATTGTTACAAAGAGTTTTAAATTGCGCCAACTGGACTAGCAAACAACTAATAAGTTGGGGCAACAATGGACTGCAAATTATATACTTTTAAAAGTTTAACTCAATTATGGAAAATGTTTTAATAAATGCTATATCGAAATTAACTTATGGATAAAGCATGCGCAGCAACGGAGATAGAAGTGTTAAATTCAAATAGTAATTGATTGTTAAACATAGCTAAAAATAAAATCCTGTGATTCACTGTATATGTACATTTGCATATGTATGAAGTATGTATGAATTACAATCTAAAATATTTAAGAATGTAGGAAACTATAACTCGGTAAGAGTAACAATTTCTGATTTATGTACAAATACTTAATTCATGTACATATGTTAGTATGCATAGTCTATACACGTCGCTCATTCACTTGAAGACTGTCGTAAGTCACAAAATGCGACTATCATGTATATATTGTACAAAATTCATATTTATATCTTGTATACTCTTTAATTGAGAAGATATTTATTTAAAAATTTGTCTGCAAGGCGGTACTCAATGGAAAATATTCAACGTATTTTCTGATAAATCGTATATTTGTTTAAGTTTTGACAGTAGTCAAGTAAATGAGTGATATGTTCTTAACAATGAATGAAACGATTGAAAAACAGAGGTGCACATTTCAGTAATAGCGGATGACATACATACAGGCATTTGACCATCACAATAGTAATGGCTTATGATGGTTTTCGCATTCACATTATTTTTTTTTAGTGGGAACTCAAAATACAAATTATCTTTTTTTTTTTTAATAACAATCTAATGCTACCCTCAGGCATACATAGACTCTATTAGCCAATTATTAATTTGTTAAATCACAATATTTTGCTCAATCATTTTTATGTTGATGTCTTAAAAAATTGCTTAACTTTCGCTGAATTTTGTAAATGTTATAATTCGCGTTTTAGTTTTCATCGAGCCCTTAACCCCATACTCAGTTGCCTTTCAATGTGACGGAAACGCAAATTTGAGCACGCGTAAGGCATTTTATACTACACATTCTTAAAATAAATTCTCATTTGGTTTTTGTTAAGAAAAATACATGTTGAATAAAAATTTCGCCCACTGTAGATAATGTTGCGGTTCCAATTCCCTCATAAAACTATAAGCCTTCAGTGTCTGCACATACATACATACATATGTACACATGTACATTTTAATTCCAAAAATATATTATTGTAATACCTATACGCCCTTTTATGAAAACATAAGTACATACGAGTTAATAGTAAAAAACTAATTTTAAAAACTGCTTGGACTTCAGTCATTTTGAATTTATCATATATACATGCATATGTGCTTATGTATGTATGCCTGTATATACTTCAGTATCTTCGAAATGATCAAATATTTAAGCATCGTTAATAGTTGTAGTTTTACTGTTATGTTTTAAGAAATATTTTGTAATAAAATTTCAATATATTTACAGATTTTGATTTTTCACTGTCATCTTTGTATTTGCTATCCACTCAATGTTACTCAATGCCATAATTAATATTAAAAGAGTTTGTAATTCATTTTATTTTAATGTATTATTTATATAATTTAATATTTCAATATTTAAGTGCTTTAAGATAGCTTCTTTTAGCACAGTCACAAATATTAAAATTATGAAAAAAGAAGTTGCATATTTTTTCTTACAAGTCGACAATTATTATTAATTTAAAAACCACCGTTTAAGATTGACAATTTTAAGGCAGCAATCTGCGTTTGTAAGCAGATCTTGGTAAACGCAAAGAACTAACAAAATTAGTTTAGTTAGGCAGCCAAACCCACTGCAGGGAATAACAACACATTCATGCAAACAAAATTGCTTGCACGGCTCATAGAGCAAAAGCTGAGAGTACTTTAAATTTGTAGTATTTTCGCTCTATCAGCTATGAGAGCGCAGATTTCGTTTTAGTCTTAGTTTTCAAAATATAAAGCTGCATAGTAGCATTTTAATGGATGGCGTGACTTATCTTAGTGCTTATATTGTCTTTGGTTAAACGTAATAAGCAGCAGCTTTCAAAGGTTTTGTACACAGTGTTAGTAACAAAGTGGATCAAGCAGGTTATCAATTGTATTTGTATAAAAAGTGCTAATAACGAAATCGAAATGTTGATTTCAACAAATTAAGTAAGTATAGAATTTTTTTATTGTTATAAACACGTTTTTATAGTTTAATCATTCAAAAACATAATCCTGGTCGAAGTCGTATTTATCAGCATTAGTTGATGACGAACCTAAACTAAAGCTGTCCAAAACGTCGGTTATTTTCGAAATTTTCTTCTCGTTTCGAACATTTTGCTTTTTCTTCTTCTTCTGCAGCTCCTTAATGTTTTTGTTAAGCGACTGATTTTCTGGAAAATATATTATATATTATATAGATGAGGAGAAAAATAGTTTTCAAAGATTTACCCTCTAGAAGCAACACAGGATCTGGTTTATCCTTCTTATTGTCGTCCAATTTTCTCTTGCGACCCTTTAACGGCGTTTCACTTTCTGTTATTTCTGCGGCAGCAATCTGCGTATCTTCAGGCGGCGACCTCAACTCAAGTGGGCCAGTCGACGTTATCTCCATAACATCATCTGATTTCTCTGGACATTGGTTCAGTAAGTCAGTCTCCATAGACTCAAAGTTATGTACGTCAAATTCTCGCGCCTCTGCGTGTACAATCGAAGCACTTATATGTACATTTGTATTATCGATTATTTCAGGCGGTTGAGTACAGTATTTGATCTTTCCGGTGTTCCAGTCGTTCAGCACACTACGCGCAGCGGACACAACATCTGGAACCCCCTTTTTTAAAAATTTTCCTGAATATCGGAATGACATATAAGAAATAATGACAATAAACTTAATAAATTGACTGACCCATTCTGGCAGCCTTCTTGGCGAAGAATTCTTCAAAGGTGTCATAGCTGGTAATATCGTACATTTTACAGAAATAATCTTTGCTGGCCCTTTTCAAAACGCTCTCTGCTATGCTAAAAGGATCCTTAACGTCGCCTACACGCTGGGCGTTCTTTAACACGGCGTGCGCGTTTTCGTTTCCCTCGCTGGCAATGCTGGTAAAAACAATGCCAGGACAATCAATAAGCTTGATCTTTGAATCAAGCTCAACTTCTTGCATAGCTCTGAAAAATATAGAAAGTTAGTAACCAATTAATCGACAATTATGTTTGATTTTAACAATTAGTTAATCATATGTAGTTAATAATTTATCAGATTTAGTCGTTGTAAGAATACTTCGTGTAAAAAGTGCACTCAACATTACATGTAATAAACAGAGAGTCTAAAGTTAATCTTTTCATTAGTAGTTGGGGTTGGAGTCATTGATTCTATTTTTACATTTCATTCTAAGGTTTACATTTTTATGTAATTTTTAGGTAACGTAAATTCTATGTAAATGCTTTGCAATATGTTCTTTAAAACGTAATTATAAATTAGAAGTTGCATATTTTTTGTTACTGAAAATAGCGAACCACAGTCGAAAATCGAGGAACAACGAGAATTTGTATATGTAGGAGACAAAATAGATAAATTGTTTTCTTATTTCAGTGCATAAAATCGAGGACCTATATAAAAATCTTATAGAAAGTATTTTTCTAGGTAATTGCATAATAATTTCATACCATATTACTTACTTAGTCACTCCAGGAGTGCTCCCAACCATGCATGAACGTCCTCGGGTTAGCGAGTTTATAATAGAGCTCTTGCCCACATTGGGTATGCCAACAACTCCGACGCGTATTGATGTTTTGATGCCCTTATTGCGACAGTAGTTGGCCAGCATAGACATGAGCAGCTCAGCTCCAATGCACACTGAACCCTGCATTGCTTTTTCGCTCTTCATGTCGCGTAGTTTCCTTCGTCCCAACTTTGACGCCTGATCTTGCGTGGAAGCCTTAAACGCTGTAACGGGCAGGCTGCGCCGAAAGAATTTGATCCAATTGTTTAGATTTTCCCTTGGAACAAGGTCGGCTTTATTCAGAATGAGTACCAGCCGCTTGTTACCAGGCGCAGCGCGCACAGCTCGCTCTACTTCATTGCAACGCGTACCCAACGGATCCCGTGCATCGACCACTTCCAGAACAACGTCTGCATTCTCAATAACCTTACGAAATTCTTTAAAGTACTGCTTCAGAGATTGTTCCTTGGTGGTGGCGTTCTTGTATTTCTTCTCGTTGGAATCAGCAGCATTATTTTCATGCATTATGTCGTGCACAGTGCTCCGAATGTCGGCATTTTCAACCATCGACTCCAGCGACTTGAATTTGTTCTGATCGCGTTCTGCTTTATAGGTTTCCCGGCGGGTTTGCCGCTCATGCTCCTGGCGTTTTTTTGCTTCCTCCACCTCTTTAAGTATATCATCTTTAAACGGGCATATGTTTGGTATTTGTATCAGTTTTTGCTTTTTACTGCCTTTCTTAGGATTCTTTTTGGCCTCGCGACGTTCCTTTCGGTTGTGTTCGCGTACTTTTTTGTCAATTTTGTGCTTGAGCCGACCAGTTAAACGCTTTGATTTTTTTGCTAAAAGTGTATTATATTAATAATTTTCTAGTTTTTAACAAACCACGTGGGACACTTACTCTTTAATCGTTTAAGAGCCATTTTTTAATAATTTCCAGCCTCACTATTGTATCTAAGCACGTGTAAATAAATGTGCTTCTTCTATGCACCCATTCAATGACCATTCACAAAGTCCACATTTACCAAATGTATTAATCAACACTGTAAAATATTTATAAGCGCTGCCAGATAGTTCAGTCTCGTGATGTAATTATACAAAATACCATTGTTGATAATTTATATTCCGTAAATATGTTTATGAAAACCACGGTTTTGGCTGGAATACATTTTATTAAGAAATGTACAGCAAATGCAGTATCATCAAGAAGCTCTTATATACACACTAGTGCATTTTTAAGCAAATCGGAGGACCGCAAAGAAATGTTAGCCTCCATGCCGGCTAAAGACGAAGGCACCATTGGCGAAAAGTCTGTCGATATTGACACGCTTCTTAACCGGTTAGTGCAGGCACAATAATTGACCTAATTCAATGTAATAAATAATATCTATTTATATCAACAGAAGAGCGAAGTCCTTTCCTGACGCTAGCACCGCCACGCAGCTTTTCAACGGTATTCCCTTTAACGAATTGCCAATCTGTAACATACGCGTGTCGCCCAACAACACAATTATTTCAGTAACGGACTACAAAGGTTAGTTGCGGGATTAAGTTCGACAAAGGCTTAAAAGGGTATTAAATATTATTTATTTGTTCTAGGTGTGCCAAGACTTATACGATCTTGCGGAGTCGAAGGTTTCAAAAATACCCGAAAAGGGACAAACATTGCAGCACAAGCAACAGCTGTTAGCATAAGCGGGGTAAGATGCAATATTTTAGCGGTTTCTAATTGTATGCTAATATTTATGCTCAACTTCAGAAAGCGGTTGAACTTGGCTGGAAGACAATTAGAGTGAAAGTTCGTGGACTTGGCCCAGGCAGAATGGTAAAATTATATTACGTTTATAGCGTATAATTATGTTTATAACATATGTTTAAATGTTTATTGTTACAGTCTGCCATCAAAGGCTTGCAAATGGGCGGCTTAAATATTGTTTCAATTACTGATAACACACCTGTATCCTGGAATCCACCGCGCCCTAGAAAACAACGAAGTCTTTAATTGAAGAGAAACACTATTGAAAATAGACAATATAAATCATATAAAAATAAAAATACTTGCTCGGTCTATTTTATATAATACCCTGTACTCCTAAAAAATGGGAAGACAGTCTACACTAGTTTTGTGGAAAGGTATATATAATAGATGGAAGCATTTCCGGCCCCATTACGACGCCCCATGCCAACGGCACAATTAGATCTTCATACAATTTTAGCAAGACAGGTAAGGAAATACAGAATTCGAGCATTAAAAAAAAAGTTGATTTAGAACTTTACTGACTAATCGAATTCTTCAGGTTCAGTGGCGGTAAGCTAATCCCTTGCCCTTGTCGGCTTGCCGGCTGTAATTATGTAGCCTATGCCATAGCTCGTTGATGGTTTTAGTTTTAGTTCCTATAGTACCTTTAAGAGCTATAGACTTGAAATTTAAGATGTAGGTGCTCCTAGTGCCCGCGCAGATCGAGTTTGTTTCCGATAATCAATAACTTACTCCGTTTCCAAGCAATCGATACAAATCGATATCCTGTTTTCTGGGCACTTTTGGTAAATAATAAGAGCTAGAGTCACCAAACTTGACACATAGCTTCTAAAATAGAATATATATATGCACTTGATGTTGGAAGAAGAGGGTCATGGGTATCCCCTAGTCGGGAGCTCTCGACTGGAACTTCTCACTTGTTTTATTTAATTATGTAAATGTCCTTTTTATACCCGAACCCATTAAAAATGGGCAATACGGGTACAATGTTTGTGCAAATATATGTAAATGGCAGAAGAATTATCTCCAACCCCATTAAGTATATGTATTCTTGATCAGCATCAATAGCCGAGTTGATCTAGCCATGTCCGTCTGTCTGTCCGTACGTCCATCCGCATGTTTGAATGCAAGGATCTCAGAAGCTGTAAGAGTTAGATCTAATTTTCTTCAGAAACTACTGTCGAATGCTTAAATAATGTTTATCTAAGATAATAATCTATTTTGTTTATGAATAATATAAAAATTGTAGGTGTTAACTATAATACGCTTACCAACTATAGTGGTACAATTTTTAAATGCGATAGTACGTCCATTCCGTTTATATTTATCCTACTTAATGTAAGCGTTGTTATAATGACGTGCAACTAGAGTGTGCAAAGACAACTTAAGGCTATGAAAGGCTTTATATTACATTGCATATCCTTGAAAGCATACACACAATCACCTAACTTTTTTAAATAAAACTTTTTGAACTATAAATTGTCGTATGTATGTACAAATGGTTGGCTGGAATGGTTATTGATATGGAATATAAAGTAAACGTAAATGGAGGATTATCGGATTTACAAAATGGAACTTTTTGGATTTAAAGTACGTTTGGCGGTTCAAATAATTGTCATGATGCTGTTGTGAACTTTTTATAGCGCCATTCAAAACTCTTAAGTATTATGTTTTGCATGGCTATACACATAGGGGTTAATATGCAACGACGTCGGTTATTGATTTGATTACTAGGCGACATTGGCACGTCGTGTGCTATAGGCATAGAGAACAATGAATGGCAACTGTTAATTTCCTGGTCCCCAAAGATGTTATCAAATCGTCTTATATCTTGCCATCGCCTTGACTTTTTAATATTATTTTGAGCAGAATATTTAATGCTGCGTAATGCCGTCATAGGATCGTCTATTGCTTTAATATCCGACTCGCAGTTGTGACAGCCTCTTGCACCATAAGACGCATGAAACTGCATATTGGATGTAATGCCGCAAATGTCTTGACTTCTGCCTCCACAGGGATTTTGAGGCGATTCCGTATGCCTTTCATCATTGCTGTCATCCCGCCTTGGCATCACACTTTCTTCGTAGTCCATGAAACTAGTGGCGCAGGAAGGCTGATATATAACCGCGGAAGCGTGGCCAGATCGACCAGAGTTTAATGGTGTACCCTGTTCCCATGTGTTTGTGCGTGGATCGTAGACTTCAACGATAGAAAGAAAATTGTTGCCGTCAAATCCTCCAATAGCGTACAGCTTGCCATCAAGTGTTGTAAGCGAAAGAGCACTCCGTGCAATTTGTATTGGCGCTACCATATCCCAGGTCTCGTTCTCAGTATCGTATCGTTCTACTGTAGCAAGTTGTCGTGTGCCATCAAAGCCTCCCACGACGTATATGAAGTGATTAATGGCTGCGACACCTAAAATTAAAGCATGGTAGTGCATTACAAACTGAAATAAATTAAACAAGTAAGAGGTTCTAGCCGGGAGCTCCCGACTAGGGGATACCCAGAACCCTCTTCTTTCAACATCAAGTGCATATATATATTCTATTTTAGAAGCTATGTATGTGTCAAGTTTGGTGACTCTAGCTCTTATATGTTCTGAGATCCTTGCGTTCATACATACGGACAGACAGACAGATGGACATGGTTAGATCGACTCGGCTATTGGTGCTGATCAAGAATATATATACTTTATGGGGTCGGAGATGCTTCCTTCTGCCTGTTACACACCTTATATCGATTTTTAATGGGTTCAGGGTATAAAAATAATTATATTTGGCATTTTCCGAGGCAATTTTATCAGTTCAGTTCTTGGTTAGGTCACGTCTCGCGAGCTTCCCTGCCCTACTCGTCCCGCGTAGGCAAAGTAGTAAAATAACATACATAAATCTCATAGAAGAGATTACCCGTCGTCACCGAATTTACCATACTCGTGTCCAGAGATCTCATTATATCGGACGGTCCTAATACATTCAACGGGCCTGTTGCGGCCCAATTAACAAAGTTAGTAAACAGGTCGCGAAGCTCATATTTATTTTCGTTTATATAAATTCTTTTGCCTCAATTGCAGGTTGGTTTTTCAATCCCCGTCTTAGTACTCACTCTCGACCCCAAACGAACTTTCGGTACAAAATCGAACTAATGCAGCAAAAATGGATTTGGCTGGGCAATAATCAGAGTTCAGTCAGCCAGTCAGGATTAACTCTTTGATATAAGTAAATAAGGTAAAGATTTTACCTGCTCCGCTGCGGCCAGTATTGAGGGACGGCAAATAGCTCCATTCATTATTTTCCGGATGGTAGCACTCTACACTGGCCAAACGCTCGTTGCCATCAAAGCCACCAATGGCGTACAGAAGACGATTAACAACCACAACGCCAACGCCCAATCGTTTGGAATGCATTGGCTGAACGAGCGTCCAGCGATCCTGGTCTGGGTCATAGCTACAAATAAAACGGATTAATTGTAAACTCATTATGTATGTTGTAGAGTACCTACTACTCCACTGTATTGTGGTATTCCATTCCTGCGGATCCACCCACAGCGTACATTAGCTCGTCCATGACTGCTACGCCGACACGATGACGCGGGACAGACATTGGCGAACAGGGCCGCCACGTTTCGCTTATAGCACTATATCGATCTACCCAGTCGGAATCGTATGAGGAGCCAATGTTGTTATTGCGCCCGCCCACTGCATAGAACTTTCCTTTGAGAAATGCAGCGCCCAGACCGGAACGTGGAATGCGCAGATTTGGTAAAGTAGTCCAAGTCTTGTCATCGACATTATATGCCTCCAGTATGTCCAATGAATGTCGGAAAAAACCGCCAGCGACGAATATCATACGCGTTGTATTTGGTGTGCGTTCTTTGACGCCTGGGCATTTGTGCAATGTTAAGTCTTTAAAGATCTTGGCTAGATATTCGCGACAAGCCGGAACCTTCCTCAGTACATCACAGTTTTTCATTTGCTCCTTAAGAAAGTTGGGCGTGAGAAACTGGCAGCGAACAGCGCCAAGAATGTGTTCCATCTTGCAATGCCGATTGTCCTCATCGTACTTCACCCATTTCAGAACGGCATTGTATACCTCGCGTTCTTCCTGTACGTTCAGCTCGTCCCGCCTGATAAGTGCTATCAGTTGATAAGCGGACAACTGTAAAAACTCTTCCTCCTGGCAAACCTGCGATGCGATCATAGAATGGAGGCTAATAAAGGTAAGAACAACATTCAACATACTCAACATACTTGCATAAAGTGACGTTCAATAAAGTAGTTTGCTTTCTTCTGTAGCTCACTGCAGCTGTGCTGTTCGGCAAAATTAGCAATGCCTATAGCGTTAGTTGGATCTAACTGGCGCTCCAGGAAAGCACAGCAGGCATCAATAACATTTTGGACTTGGAACATTGTCGCTGCAGGCAAAAGTTGGCAGACAGTTACTTCTGTCACACGTATCTGTCCAGTGTACATAAAGTAAAGAATCCGGGCCATTGCCGTGGGACACACCTAGCGAAATTGATTATGCTGTTCATATATTATAGCAACAATTTGGAGCTATATAGCTAGACTTTACTTACCCCCTGAAGTTGCACGCGCGACATCTCAGACTCCTTCAGTCCGCCAGTAAACATGGCCTTGAAGTACGGTGATGCAGCAGAAAGAACCACCTTGTGGGCAGGAAAGAGCTCCTTCTTCACTTCAAGCACAACGTCTGTTAGCATGCCGTGTGAACGCATCATGAACATCATTTTAAGTGCTTCCTTGGCGTAGTTCGACATGCAGAAAGTCATGTCATCATCTGTTGCATCGTGATCATCTATGGCACGCGCAGTATCGAAACGCCCGCATGGCGTGGAGAGGGAACAGCTGTCTGAGTTTTCGTTCATCTCTAAGTCTATACGAAAATACATATATTTAAAAAAAAACATTATAACTCTGGCTGTTAGAATAAGATTGGTCAAATTTGCATAACCTCCAGAAATTTCATCATTGAATATATATAATAACTCTCTGGGATGCTTGCCTGACTGCGTCTTAGTAAACCTCGTTAATGGGATATTTCAAATCAAGCAGACGGCGCAAACCTAAGAAAAGTCTGCTCGGGAATGGCCAACTATGGAATATTCTCATACCTAGTGTTAAGTTAATATCTTCAGCTAATACTATTGGGAAATAAATAAAAGTTCACCAGTTAAGATGACGGGTAGTTCATTTCATTCACTTCTGGCTAGCAAATCGAACGCTGGCCTGTTACAAATTATAAAAATCGATGAACAGAGTATGCCAATTGATTATTTATAGGAGTTGCGCCGTCTTGTCGATTTATAAAAAATAGGCGATAAGGCTCGCCAACATTAAAAGGTGTGCCAAAGTCCAATCACAACACGAATAAACAAGTAAGAGTGGTCTAGTCGGGAGTTGCCGACTAGGAATTTCCTTGATATCCTCACTATGAAGTTGTTGGGCCATAAATATCTTATCATATGTTTCTAAATTTCGTTTTGATTTTTAGCTTTAAGATAGATGTTTTTTTTTTTGGGGGGTTCGGGAAAGTTATCCAAAAAGTGAAATATTCTGGATCTGCGTATCTCATGAGACCCGGGGGGATATGTTCAAAAACACGATTTCAACTCGACTTTTTATAAACATTTTGTTTTCTCTGCTTATGTTGTTGTGTGTACATATGTATGTGTGTATTGAAATAAGCTGGAATGTTTGCTATGACAGCCGGCGCGTAGTCAGGGTATCTCCTAGTCGGACACTTTCGACAATAGCACTCCTACTCGCTATTACATACCGTACTACCAAATGGGATAAGAACATACTCCTGTATTGTGGATTGCTTTTTTCCGCGCCTTTTTCAAATGGAAACTAGGAACGTACAAACTAAAAAGATCAGCTCACTGAGCTTGTACCTTCGACATCGACTGATTGTGCGTACGCCGGAATTCAACTGAACCAATTTGCTTTGTCATTCCCTCACAAAAAAGCCACACAAAACAGGTAGCGGTAGCGTCGAAACGTCGCTATGAAATAAGTGGACTAGACGGGAATGTCCAACTGCGGTATACCCTGTATCTGTATCTGCCTCCGCACTGTTTTAGCCCACACAGCATCACCTTCATTGCTATACAAAAACGTCGTTAAGTTGAATTCAAATTTGATTATACTCAAATATATGTCTCAAAATAAAAGATTAGAGGAAACAATCCATCTGTGCATACTAAGCGAGATCTGAACTTTATTTTCGATACCAAATTCTCAATTTCACGTCCTTGCTTTTACAGTTATCGTTGCGTTTATACACACGGACATAGCTTTGTGATCGAAATATCTCTTTTCAGGCATTGGCATTACTTTAATTTGCTTCTTATTTTTAGCAATTTTCAGTAGGTGTAGGGTATAAAATCGTGTCATGTGGTGTAGTTAATAAGTGCAGTGTCATGCTATAAATACGAAAACTCAGCGCCTAACTGAAATAGCAAATAAAGGTGACTGTATTTTTTGCTTACATGCCCGCCCCCCTGTGCCTTCTATTAATTCCGAGACTTTAGGAACTACATATCTAGGTGCTTTATGTAGTGACCGAATGGAGTCATCTGACCTAGACTAGGATTAAGATCCTCACGTTTTAAATTATTAATAGTTACAGCGGACCTAAGTCTAAAGTGATCAATTATGTCAGACAAATCCCAGTTGCCACAAACATTTTAAAATATATGTAAGTCTGAATATAGATAACGTTCATATATATTGTTACGTGCATAAGTGTACATGTATATATGTATACATGTGCGTACAAAATTGGAAATGTGTGGGTAAAGTGACGTGCTTTTTGAATGACTATGCATAAAAATCTGCGTATCTTAAGCACAAGGAGTTCCCTTCACGGTTTTTTTTATCAAGTTTGCGATAATCACAAAGGCAAAGTGTAAGTGAGAGAGGGAAGGAGAAATATTGTCAAATCATGATGAGAAGGCACAATTGCACACATGTTCATATGCACACATACATGTGTAGTATCTTCAAATACATAGATGAGTATGTGCATATAAACAAATGCTCGATATATAGAAGTATTCGGCAGTAGTAAGAGCGAAAGAACTTTTGATTAATTATTATGAAGGCTTGTTGATATGTAAATGCACATGTTTATGTACATTATGCATGCAATTGATTGAATGTTCAACCAACAACTTGTTGATTTTCTGGATGGAACTGGCGTGTCATAATAGAGTACGCGTAGTTGAATATTAGCGAATATTTATCAAGATTTCAACATTTTGTGTATGTAACTTATTATGTGCTTTGAAAAGAAAATATTTTTATTGAGTGTATACACAAATGGTAAGACTATAGTGTGTGTACCAACAGCTGATAAGTTAAGCAGCGCGATGTATGTAGGTATTTTTTCAATCTTAGATTTTAGAGTTTCAATGGATAAGACCACGTTCATTTATAGCAATTTGTTTGAATAAAATCTGGCACAAACATGAATATCTTTTTTTGTATTTATTTGCAGTTCATTCATTAATAATAGTACCGTTTGTTATTATTATTTCGTAGCACTCACAACTGCAAACGGGAACAACTATCAACTAAAGCGCTCGCAGTGTTGCCATAAATCTTAAAATACCATTATGGGTATTCCAATAAAATATTTGTAATTAATTGTATTTGCCATTAATCTAAAATGCAAGGAAACTGTACGCATATGCTTAAGTTAGCCAGTATTATGAGAATATATACAATTTATAGTGTGATCTTTTAAAGTTAATTTTAAGTGCAAATGTGCCATCGACATCAATGGCAGAGAGGATGGTATTTTCAGTATATTTATGTCGGCAAAGAGCATGCTCGTATTTTGGACTCTTGGTCATACTGATTTTTTGTGACCGCTTTGCATCTTACGTGACATTCCTTATCGCAACAAAATAAAAATATCTAAAATGTCAACATCAACGATACGAAAATACAGCGCTTCTGTTATATTTTTTCACGGCTCTGGTGATACTGGACAAAATTTACTAGAATGGGTCCGGTTCTTATTAGGCCGAGATTTTAACCTCGCCCATGTAAAAATTATATATCCAACTGCTCCAATGCAAAAGTACACTCCTTTAAATGGACAGCTTTCCACTGTGTGGTTCGATCGACGATCGGTAAATATTGCAGCGCTGGAAAGTAAGAAGAGCATGTCCCAATGTTATGATATCGTACACCAACTCATCCAGAATGAAGTAGACCACGGCATCCCGTTGAATCGCATAATTGTCGGTGGTTTCTCAATGGGCGGCGCTTTAGCCTTGCATACATGTTACCACCTAAATACTGGTTTAGCTGGTGTATTTGCACACTCATCGTTCCTTAATCGTAAATCTGTGGTCTATGAATCCCTGGAAAATCAAAAGGCTCCAACAAACACGCTTCCTGAACTTCTTATGCTCCACGGAGAGCGCGATACATTAGTTCCCCTTGAATGGGGGCTAGAAACATTTGAATCATTACAAAAACTGGGCATAGTAGGCACATTCACCCCCTTAAAAAACACATTGCACGAGCTAAAGAAACGCTCGCTGCTTGATTTGGAGGATTGGATATTGAAAAAGTTGCCGCCTTTAAGTATGGACATTTCTAATAAACTTTGATTGACTCCCAAACTATTTGCGTTTGATTAAACCAAGTTTGTATTCGTACTTATTTTCTAAATGCGACTATTTGGAATAAAACCGATGCAATGAGGAGCACCACACAGACAAGGTTTTCCATTAGACATTCCATCGCGATGCTCCTCCCCCGCATAGTGGAAGCATAACTCCTCATTGGCATATATATCGTGTTTTGCAAAGATTCCTACAAGCATTTCAAACAGAAATAAGCATGATTTTACTTTTTGTAGACCAAGCTCACCAATTTTTGGTATGGGGCAGTTTGTTCGCACGGGTAAGATCTCACAGTTTGGCTGACAGCTGTGGTTTAGATACCGACCGATATTTCCACGTTGAGCTGGATCTACAATAGTTAGTAACAATTTCTTTTGCACCAGATAAGGACTTTGAGGTGCTACATGCTCATTAAGACATAATATGTAGTTCACAAGGCAATTTTTGTCAATGTGTTCCAGTCGCCGCCGAGCCTCTGGCAGAGTTAATAGCTCGCCTGCATACTCACAGATAAAAGCCCCACTAGGAATATCAGCAGTAGTGCGCAAACCTTTTGATTTATACAATGGCGATTCAAATACTTCAAGATTTTTGCGTGGTCCATACTGCACTCGTCGGTTTGTGCATAGAGTAATCCGGCATTCACATAGATCATTGCATTCGATAATAGATGGAAATTGCTTATCTGCACTTGATAATAAAACTAATTCGCCTTTCACGCGAGTGTATTTAATGCCGTCTCCGTGGTAGCAAAGAACAATGTTACTACAGTTGTCCGTACATGTACATGATAATGTCAGCTGAGAATTGTAATCATCCTTCAGGCGTCTGTATTCTGGGCTTCCATCATCAGGCATGAGTACGTTTTCCAAAATATATTCTACATTCCCATTGTGATCGTAATCATCAATAATTTCAATGTACGCTGGCATTGAATCTTAAAGTTATTTCTCTCATCAATACGTTGTTAGCATGCAATACCAGGGATACGGCATATTGACTTTACATCGATGTATCGATGTTTTGCGTACGATTAATCGAAACGATTCGATTGTTTAATGAATCAAATTTTATTCGATGTAAGCTGTGTTGTTTTGTTTGTTGCATTTTCAGTCCCGTGGGGCGACAGTTATGATGACACAGTGTCTGATTCGATGTTCAATTATAATCTGGTTCTTCTGGCATGCTGCATACACAGCAAACCTAACTGCACATTAACTCAAGCTAATTAATTGTCACCTATGGCTAAGTGCCCAAGATTAAGTGATCAAACATTTAGTTTGCGTTAAAAATTTGTAAGTATTCGATTTGTATCGATATAAAAAGACGCGCTCTATCGATGTTAAAATTGAAAAGCTAAGAATCGATACAAGTTCAAACTTTTCTTACTTTTGAGCGGTTGAACTGAGTGCACCCTGAGTTGATTATGAATTGTTTGAAGTAAAAAGCAATGTAAAAAATTTATAGTTTAAATTTATAATAATAAGGGTGTAATGGCTGCTCTAGCGTTTGTACCAGTTGCAGAGGTATCCGCATATTGATATGGAAATGCTGTTTTTTTTTTTTTGGGATGTAGAGTCTCGCTTAGTATAATTTTTACCATCGGTTCCAATAAAATCATAAGTCATTTGTGGATAAATAAGCTGTCCTTGGTATTTGCATACATTTGGATGTCATATAGCATAATTACTTTTTATTTGTATAGTTATGAATTGAAATAAATAAATTGTTGGAGATTCAAAGGATCATTTTATAAAATATATAAGCACATATATAAATATTTATCAAACCCTATATTATGTTTGTACGGAAGGCTTAAAATGCAAAACTTTATCAAGCAATTACTTGCCCAGCTATTTCAATGCTTTGTTTGAACAGCATTTGTAGGTCAGCATGTTAGTTAATTTGAATGGAAAAACACCCGGTAAAGGCCAGTTAAATCAAGGCTTCTTTCAAGTTATCGGCACTAAAACGTAAAAAAGTATTTCAATGGGTTTTCTTTTATATATAGAAACAAAAATTGTTTTTTAGCTACCTGTTGTATTATTGATTTAAGCCACTTTTCAGTTTATCTATAGTATTTTTAAATCCATCGTGAATATCATTTTTAATCTTGCTGACATCGTCCTCTTGCTCGTGGTAGTAAAAAAAGTAGACTAGTAAGCCGACTATAACAAACACAACAAAGAACGCACTGATTATGGACACAAGCATGCTAAGTGCGCAACTGAAGCAGCTGAAAATAAACAGTTTTGGAGTTAGTTAGTTAGCTGATATGGATGTATATAGCATAGTACAAGTACAATATAAATAAATGAATTTGTATATGTATGAAATTTTTTGTTTACAATCCGATCAGCCTCAGAGCACTCTTTCAAAGAACTTTGTTCTCTAAGAAAAGATATTTGATATATTGATATATTAGATATATTCTCAAAGAAAGATATTTTTGCAACATGCAACATGCCTTTTCGATGTTTTAGGTTTCGTCCAATCGACTTAAACTGATTTCCAAACATCTAAATTAATTTATTTTAGGTTTCAAGCATCTCATCACGAAATCAAAAATCATTTTCAAATATTAATGGAAAATTAAAAGTGCGAGCTTTAAATTTAAAATCTAAGTCATCATTTTAGATAATAGTTCAATGGTGTTATGATAAGAATGGAGAATAGTAGAGCATGTTATTGTTGAGTTTTGTTAAGATATCCTAGTTTTTTGTTGTAGTCCTATGTAAGGCTTGTGGTTACTGAGCGAGGTCATGACGTCATAAGAAAAGCATACAAAATGTTTGTTTTTATTTCCATCCTCTTGTCCCCACTCCTCGCCCAACTGACCGAGGAGCTCAGTCGTACAAGGGAAGTATTCAGTTATATGATAATGTGGTTTGATCCGGCCGCTCCCGACATAATTACCCTCATTAAGAATATATATATTTTGTGGTTTATGAGCAACTATGATATACATAAAGACCCAAATATACGCTTTGCCAGAAATGAAATAAGTAGATATAAATAGGTTACACCATAACAACATAACTTGAAAAGATTATTTGTACAAATCGTCATAAATTAAGTAATATAAGCAAACTATAATTTCATATATATTATTTGAACAATTAGTTCTCAAACATTCCTGCTAAGTTTTATTATATTTTAGTTGCTAAGCAATTTGTTTATTGTCCTATGACAGATTACAAATATTGTCCAAATTAATAAGAGAAAATAAAAATATTTTATGGAGTCGAAGATGTCAACTTATATGCGTTACTCGCTTCGTGATAATATTACAATATCCTCTGCAAGGCTAAAGTAATGAAAATATATGAAAAGGCTATTTAGATAAAGTCCCTAAGTTCATTTCCAACCCTTGTTGTCACGAGTTATTTAGTTTCTGCGTGCTTATGCAAAAATGTCAAGTTTCCGCCCAGCTGTCGGCTAACTGAAAGATATCCTTGATGAGCTCTTTAGTGGGGGTAGCACAAGTAGTAAAACATCGTAATACTGTCGCGCCCGAGTGGAGCCGGGACTTGCTGGAGCCGGGCAAATACGCATTTCAAATAGAGATACACAACAAAATTACAGGCAAACATGCGTTTATGTATGTATGTATATATATAAGTTAGCTGTAGAAAATAAGGGTGACATAAGTATGAGTATAGTATCATGATGACTATAGTTTAAATATATACACTTTATATTTACATGCCACATATATAATACGATATTGGCATCGAACCGCATTCAGAATGTATGCCTTATGCTTGCATTTCGATTTAAAAACATTTCCATGTATGTACCTAGCTATTAGCTATACATTTCTATGCTCATTCACTGTACATACGGCAAGTATATTATGTTATGAAATATTATGTTATTGGAGACAGACTTGACAGTATAGACGCTTATAAATGCAGTCCTCGGAGTGTTCCGAAATCCAGAATAATACTATTTATAATTTCATTATATACATATTTAAAGAATTGGTTTGATATTTTCTAGCAGAAAACTATACAATTTTAATAATAAAGACAAATGCATTTAAGGGAGCATAATAAAAGCATGTTGCTCTTGCCCGCAGCGCCAGCCCGGAAATAAGCTTCCTTCTATATACTTACATACATATACATATAAGTTGTTTCTTCGCCTACAAACTATGGGAAATTCATTCTTGAAGGACTTCATGTCCGATCTTTTTGACATTTCCGGGGATTACATATGACGTCCAACATTTGTTTCCGCACGGCAAGGCATATCTTAAGACTGTGTAGCTGCCGCACCTCTCAAGTACTGGAGATTTTTCCAACTATTTGGTATATTTCTACTGTTTTTTCTAGCTGTATATGCATATGCATATGTATACATGTACATACATAAGCACAAACATAAAAACATAAAAATTACATATTACACACACATGTACATAAATCTCCATCTACATATGCGTATACATTTCATATGCATGTACTTATGCATGTGCGAATATGTGTGTACTCTTACACATATATTTATATTTACTTTTAAGTACGCAAAGTATTTGTTTATGTACGTACATATATGCAGATACGTGTATACAAAGGCAATGCCAAGAGCAAAAACTTTTTGTTTATTCATTTAAACTTACCAGCATGCGACATTTCCGGCCAGACATTTACACATTTTGAGTTGGTTATTTTACGTTTGCTGTAATATAATTAAATTATTAAACTGCTGATATTATTTGCCAGCAACTGTTCAACTGTATCGCTGAGCTTGTGCACTGACGTACGTAGCCACACACAACTTACCACGCCTGAAGTTGTGGAGAAACTGAAAACGAAAACTGTCTGGCAGCTACTCGTCGGCAAAATGCGTTCTGAGAGAGGCAGACTATACAAACATACATTCACACACATGCATACAATACAGCGAGAGTATACGTACGGTTTACTGATCTAAAGCATAGTAAAATAATATAAGGTGGTATTAGGCGATAGCAGTTTTCAGTTGCTCAGAAT